GTTTTTTTAATGCAGGTTCCAGCCAGCTGATTGCACAGTACTATCAGTTCGTCCGCCTCGGCTTTGAGGTGAGTTCTGCTTTTGCCATGATTAGGGCCATCAGTGTTGGGGCTGTTCCTGTTTATTCTGTCACATGGTCCTACCCCCGTCCCTCTCTCCCCATCGGCTTCCTGTGATCCTATCCACAACCTGAACAACCTCTGCCCTATCCCTTTGATCCCATCTTTTCCCGCACGTCAAACCATACTCGCTACAGGGTTACAGCAAGATCATAGGCAACTGTCAGTCTAACGCCATGTATCTGAAGAACGCCATATTGGACATGGGGTGCTTTGATATCCTCTCTAAGGACGTCGGCGTGCCCCTCGTCACCTTCGCACTCAAGGAGAAGGATGGCCCCTTTAACGAGTATGACATTGCTGACGTTCTCAAGCAGTTTGGCTGGATCATCCCTGCTTACACCATGGCACCTGATCTCGAGCACGTCACCATGCTCCGCGCTCTCGTCCGAGAGGACTTCTCTCGCTCGCTCGCCGATCGCTTCCTGAATGACGTGCGCATGACACTCAAAATTCTTGAGGACAGAGGCGCCACCGTTCCTCGCACAGTCACTCCTGCAGCTGCCACTGCTGCTGCTCCCGCTGTTTCCTCCATTCCTGAGGAGGAGGCGCCTGTGACGGCAGAGGTTCCGAAGCCCAAGTCCAGGATGGCTCGTGACCTGGCAGCGGACGAGGCGTATGTGCTGTCGCCACTGGCAGGCACGCGGCTGATGCCGCCCAATAAGCTGGAGTACAGCCACTCGATGGACTCGTCTGCTCTGCGCCAGCGCACCTTCAGGGTGTTCAAGAAGAATAGCATTGCCAAGACCAACGGGGTGTGCTAGAAGCACTGCTGCTGGAGGGGAAACACGCAGAGCATACTGCTGTGGCTGCTGTGCTGCTGGTGTGTTGCACATCACATTGCATGGAATTGTAGTATGGTATCTATGGAATCAAATATTGCATATGTATGTTACACTAGGCACTTCCTCACAATATCCAGCATCATAATGTGTCCTCTATTGTGCATTTTCATGAGAAAAAAATATGATGCGAAGCTGAAGGATTGCTTTGGGAACATAAAATGTACCACTACCGTACGTCATATTTGCTTCCATATACCATTTTGTTTCCTCTGCCTTGGACGGTTGAATTCTGGACAGTATGATCAATCAGACTTACGAGGTTTTCCCTTCATCTGAAATTCAGACCTGGATTTGCTTCAGGCCAGAACGAAATAGGTTTATTATCAAACTTCAATGTGTATGGTAACTGTACCATCGAGCGAGGTGGGCTCAGGGATCTCTCTTGTGTGATTCCGTGTTTCCGCTTCCCAGACCTGCGCGCCTGCGAATCAGAGTTCCATTCCCAGCACTATGCGCAGCCATATGCCATGTCAGCCTCTCTGTACACATTTTTCTCAAGCATTGTCTGATTGTTTCCGAGGAGTTAGGCTTTTATTTGTTCAGTGTTTGGTGATGAAATGGGCTTCTGAACTATACCACAACTGCCAGCGCTGCGTTATGTTTCTGCACTTCTTTTATGACACTGTAGCTTGGTCGAATAAATGTCCTGCTTGCGGGCCTAAAATGTGTGGGTCGTTGCTTGTGAAACCCAATCGGTCCGACAGCCAGGTGTATGGAAGCCGCTGCTGGTTGGGCAGTTTGCCAGCCATTAAAGTGTAGCGAACGGAGTGTCAGCTCAGCTCTGCCGAGCCTGTGATAAATATCGACCAAGGCACCACCAGAGCTAAATTCCAGAGAGGTATTTTCAGGAAATGTTCCAAACCAAGGGCCTAGAGGATTGCGGAACCAGTCAGCAATGTTGAGCCAACATTTTGCTCCTAGACACACTTCCACATTCCGATCCCAGTTTGATCCAGCCTGAGTGAGAAGGATTGAAACTAAGCCATTTTCTTGATTCTATAAGTTGCTCAATTCGAGCAAAGAGCTTGTATTTCAGGCAACGCCTTCACTTCACTCGTTGTGTGTAGCGAGTGCTTTCCTCTTCACATTGACCACCGCATCCGCTTCGTTTAGGAGCTGCCACTCTGACCCTGGTGCCTGCAAGAAGCGTGTCGTGGTCGCTTGCAGCCATGCTTCATACCACTGCCGGTTCTGCTGGTGCTGTTGATGACGACCATGTCGTCGAGTGCGTCTTCGGCTCACGTTACACTTCTGCGAGCGTTCCCAAGTAAATTTCTCCCCTACTTGCACGTATGGACGCCAGCGAAATGTCATTCTCCCAGTTGCACATTCCCGAAAGCGGGGTACCCAATGCTTTTACAAACTGTCGTTTTTGGATGTCCGGTTCTTACTAACCCGCATTTTGCAATATCCTCTTCTGCAGGTACCAGATTCCCAAGGAAGGTATTCCCAAGGAGGCGGCGTATCAGATGATTCACGACGAGCTGCTGCTGGACTGCAACCCGCGGCTCAACCTGGCGTCGTTCGTAACGACATGGATGGAGCCTGAATGCGACCAACTCATTATGGAGTCGCTCAATAAGAACTACATTAACATTGAAGAGTATCCGGTCACCAACGAACTCCAGGTTCGCATTTCAGTCCAATGTCTGAAAATGTGCTTCTTTTTTGTCATGGAATGTTCGCTCAACGTTGTTTGCGTTCTTGTCTTCTGGTGCTCTCAAATGCAGGAGCGCTGCGTGAACATCATCGCGAATCTGTTCAACGCACCTCTGGGAGACGGGGAGGGAGCCATCGGCGCGGGATGCGTTGGGTCGTCGGAGGCGATCATGCTGGCGGGACTCGCGTTCAAGCGCAAGTGGCAGGAGAAGCGAAAGGCGGAGGGGAAGCCGTACGATAAGCCCAACTTCGTCTGCGGCTCTGAAGTCCAGGTAGGCTACATCCTTGAAAAGTTGCTGAATACATATTTTATTTTTCTGTCATCTCAATATACCCATCAACACTTTTCCATTTAACGCTTGCATCTAACCGTGATCAGGTGTGCTGGGAGAAGTTTTCAAACTACTTCGAGGTGGAGACCAAGTTCGTGAATGTGAAGGAAGGGTCGTTCGTGATGGACCCGCATGATGCTGTGGAGGCCGTTGACGAGAACACCATCTGCATCTGTGGCATTCTCGGGTCTACCTATAACGGAGAGTTCGAGGACATCAAGCTTCTGAACGATCTTCTCGTGGAGAAGAATGCCAAGACCGGGTATGCAGCATGATCAAAATGTTTTTGGATGCTCGTTCCAGGCGAACGGACGTTCGTATTCCACGTGCATCCATGTCCATTCTCCCCTACTTGAAGCCGCTTCTTCTCGTCTTCCCCACACTCCCGCATCCCCCTGTTCCCCTTCGCATTGCAGCTGGGACACGCCTATCCACGTGGACGCGGCGAGCGGCGGGTTCGTGGCGCCGTTCCTGTACCCCGACCTGGAGTGGGACTTCCGGCTGCCCACGGTTCGGTCCATCAACGTGAGCGGGCACAAGTTCGGGCTCGTGTACCCCGGCGTGGGGTGGGTGGTGTGGCGCAGCAAGGCCGACCTCCCCGAAGACCTCATCTTCCACGTCAACTACCTGGGCGCGGACCAGCCCACCTTCACGCTCAACTTCTCAAAAGGTGCGCTAAGATGGGATGATTGCCGGGCGATTTGGTGTTGAGTGGGGAACATTCGGGGATGGTGGGGTGAAGGTCTGGTGCTAGCTTGGGAGCAGCAATTTCGTGCCAAGGAACCAACTCTCTGAGAAAGATGCTGTTTCACATCACTCTTCACCCCCTCCTCATATCTTCCATAATCTCATGTGAAGTAAACACGCATTCACTTGTCTCCCTCATTTCACACTTGCGCACCGCATTTTTCAATCCAGGTTCCAGCCAGCTGATCGCACAGTATTATCAGTTTGTCCGCCTCGGCTTTGAGGTGAGCCCTGCTCGATCGTTTTATAAATGAAATTTCGGCAACTGCTGGGGCTGATTACGTGTCCCATCAGGTTGCCCTGTCCCTGTCCCCCTCTCCCCGTCTTCAACCTCTAGCCCTTCCCACCTCCTCCTTGACATCCCTCCCTATTCTTCCCATCCGTCCCATTCTCACACCTCCCAACCCTCCAACCTTGCTGCTGCCACTGACAGGGCTACCGCAAGATCATAGGCAATTGCCAGACGAACGCCATGTATCTGAAGAAGGCCATAGAGGACATGGGGTGCTTCGAGATCCTCTCCAAGGACGTCGGCGTGCCCCTTGTCACCTTTGCACTAACGGAAAAGAACGGAAATTTCAACGATTATGACATAGCTGACGTGCTGAAACAATTCGGGTGGATCATCCCGGCCTACACCATGGCTCCTGACCTCGAACACGTCACCATGCTCCGTGCTCTCATCCGAGAAGACTTCTCTCGTTCGCTCGCCGACCGCTTTCTGAACGACGTGCGCATGACACTCAAGATCCTGGAGGAACGAGGCACTGCTATGCCGCGCACCAAATCCGTTGCTGACGCCGCTGCTGCTGCGGTTGCTTCGGTGCCCGAGCATGCGCCTGTGACAGTGGAGATTCCTAAGCCCGGGTCCAAGCTGGCCCGCGACTTGGCAGCGGACGAGATGTATGTGCTGTCGCCGCTGGCAGGCACGCGGCTGATGCCGCCCAAAAAGCTGGAGCACAGCCACTCGATGGACTCGTCTGCTCTGCGTCAACGCACCTTCAGGGTATTCAAGAAGAACAGCATTGCCAAGACAAACGGGGTGTGCTAGAGACGGTGAGAGAACACACTCAGCAGAGAGCTGCTGTGGCTAGCGCCATTGTGGAGTGTTGTGTATGAGCTTTTGCACATGTGATACGTATGGTATTTGTTATCCACGTAGTCCAATACTCAAACAGCTTGAATCAAGACAATGCAGATTTGATGCACACTGCAAGAGTTACCAACATTTAGCAGAGCATGTAACAATTATAACTTGCAGCAGTGGGACACACTTTGACGTTGCCATGCACAATAAATCATGGTGCTGTCTGCATCAAATTCTCCAGCTCCTTCACTTTCCTCTGCACAGAATCAGTGACACACCAGGATGCAGAGGGTTGAAAGAGCTGCACCATGCACACATAACCCTCTACCATGCAATAGCTGGAAAAACAAAACCGCTGGCATTGGCGCAATTCTGCGAGCAGGCAGCCGGCGTCCGGACACCTGACTTACCAGGAACTGTTTTGAGCGTCTGAACTCAGCGTCTGTGTCGGCCAGCCTCTCATACGCCTCCAGCGCCTCCCTCACCCGCCCCAGCGCTGCCAGCGCCTCTGCTCTGCGAATCACCGCCTGAGGGGTATAAGAACGAAGGTGATGGGCAAACATGAGAGAGAGGGAATAAGGAAGGCGAGCTGGGAGGATATGCAGCAACATTGAGGAAGGAAAGGGTAGAGTGGGTGGCATGTGAGCATCATTGAGTTGGAAGAAGGAGAGGTAAAGGGGCTTACCGAGGACCAACCAGGCTTGAGTGCTGCAGCAGCTTCAGCGTCTTCCAGTGCTCCCATAGGGTTACCACATGCCACCCTTGCAGCAGCCCTTTGGTTACATGGGGATGCAGCACACCCGAGGTAGTACAAAGGTAAAGGTGAACAGGAAGTAAATAGGCTGAAACCATTGGACAGACAAGCAACCACTGAACAGCAGTAGACCAGAAAGGCAAGGGTCTGCCTGATGACAGGAGGAGCCTCTCTCACCAGCACTTCGCTGCTCACCTGTTGCAGAGCAGGTTGTGCATCCCCCCAACAGGCGACAACTCAATGGCCTGTGAAAGATGCAGGCGGGAGAGGCCAGAACCAATGAGGAAGAAGAAGGGAGAAACAGCAGCAATCGCAACATACTCAGACATCCCGAGCTCCCTCCTCCTCACCCCCCTCCCCCATCTCCCAGCGCAATCACCTTGGTGAAGAGCTTCTCAGCCTCGTCCGCTCGCCCCTTCTCAAAAGCTGCATTGCCGCGACCCTTGAGCTCCAGAGCCGCCAGATTCGTCTCCGCGCTGCCCGCCGCGCACTGCCTCTCCAGCAGCCGCGCCACGTGCGCCGCCGTGCTGCAGTGGCTGATGAACGTCTCGGACGGCAGCAGCACCAGATTGGGGCCTGCTCCGCACCGCCCTGTGATTGTAACGAGGGGTCAGGAACACAGCAGTGCCGGACGTTGCTGTCTCACCGTGCGTAACGGCGAGACCAGGCTCACACTTTGAGGCGAGGAAACTGCCAAAAATTCGGAGGACACGATTGTTATCTTGCACCCTTATCCGCATCTAAACATATCCTGTACGCCATGCGCCATACGCCATGGCGGTCGCATCTCACCCAGGCATCCACACGAGCCACATTCACGTGCGGGGGCGCCAGGCCGCGGAAGTGGTCCAGCGTCTGCAGCCCGCCGTCCTTGCGGCAGCTCTTCCCCACGCACACGTTTATCTCCATCGCTTCCGCCTCATCCCCGGGGTTTCCTACTGCCGCTGCAGCGGCGCAGCTGCGGCGAGGACGGCGCGCGGGGTTGGAAGATGGTTGTTTGCATGGCGACGGAAGGCCGTGGGATGTGCATTTGATCGGTTCATGTGAACCTAATGACGGAGTTGAGGTTGCTAGGGAGTGAAGCTGGGAAGCGGCGACTTGGGAAAGAAAGATAGTGAACATGGCGTTTCACGAAGTGAGAAGGTGATTCCAGTCAAATGCAAATTCTAAGCTCGAGGAGTACTCTTGAGGCGGAATGAAGTCGAGGGAATACGAAGAAAGCAGATTCCAAAACAGCTGTCATGGCAGAATGAGGAGAATATACTTCAAGCAGAAAAGTTGGGCCAGTCCAATTGGCATGGTGGAGAACATGGCTGGAGAAAATGTCGAGGCAAGGCTCTCTGAACCGAATAATCAGGGTATGTGCTCCTGACGAGCAGGTGCGCCGGGAGTTTTGATTGGTCGAAAACACGTGGTCATCGAACACTGGCTTCGTTTCTGCTTGAGCAGTTTTACAAGCTGGACCCAGAGCAGGCTGACTCGGCTTGTCAAGAACACCACCTTCGTCTGATTGGTGAATCCGCAGATGTGAACCACCGCAGAGAGCCAGCCTGCACGCAGCTGAACCGAGCTTCCAGCAGCAAAAATCTAGAAGCCTCAGGGCAGGTTGCAAACATTCTTCCCTTGAGCTTGTCCTGCTGTCTGTCCCTCGACATCTGGTCTGGTTTCGATCAGAGCCTGTTCTCCCAGTTGGCTGTTCCAGATTATCGCTTCTGCAGAGGGGGATTGGGTGAGGGCCACTCTTGAGCTGGTCGCGAAACGGTTACCAGAGCGAGTTTTTAGCCCTGACGAAATCGCAAGTGAAGGAACCACGCTAGAAAAGAGATTTTCAAGTCAGCAAACCTATCACTAGTGGTGGCTCACGTCTTCCATTGCAGACGAAATATCGTCTAGATACTTCGTCACGCATTTTATAATAGCTACAAAATCGGGAGTTATTCTCCATTGTGCTCCATTAGCGTCAGGACCACCAGCTGCTGCTGCTGCTTACGACTTCGCCATGCTTACGCTGGACGCTCCCCTGCTTGTTAGGCCTCGGAAGCTAGTATCTTCCCGTGCATTCCGGCCTACCTCACACTCGCAGCCATGTCGGACATCTTCACTTGCAACACCACTGTTGTCTATTCGTCCATCGGGCCTTCCAAGCAGCCAAGGCTCCCTCCTATCTTCACACCCGAACCGTCACTCGTTTTGCACAGAATTCCTCTCACGGAGTTCACGAACACGTTTCGGTCAGATAGGGCAAATTCGAAAGCATGTTTCAGCGCCGCCTGCTCGCTGCTCGTCCAAGCTTGACCCATCCGACGACTCTTCCCCCGAGTCCTCTCAAACCCCCGATGATACATTCTCAGGCGACAAGCTTGGCGAAACACAAGCGAATTCGCCAGATTCACCAATCGGCAAGCTGTCCAATCAGAGCGATTCCAGTCCCAAGAACTCCCAACCAGATGATTCCCAAATTGCATCGGTGAGAAATGTCGTGTCAAAGCAGACTGGTCCCGAGGCGAATCCGTCGGATGAATCTGAGGAGCCATCCTTGGAGCCATCCTTGCAGCCCGGCACCAGCAGCTTGTCAGACCGAGCCAAGGAGCGCTTGCAGCGAATAGAGGAAGCAGCCGCTGCCGCGAAATCCGGAAGCGATCCTTTCGAGGGAATGGTGGCTGTTGCAGCCCAGCGGCTCCAAGACTACTTCGATAAGACGCGGCTTGTGGGGGGTCCAGGGGGTGTTGGTCAGGAATCGGTTGGACTGAGGGGTGAGGAGGTGGAGGGGGATGATGCGAGCGGGGAGACGGCGTGGCAGCGGTGGGAGAGGGTTTTTGGCGAAGTGGAGGAACGAGAGGCCATGCTGACGAGTCTGCAGGTGGGGACAGGGAACACAATAAGATTCATTTGTTTTCCGAACCTTCTCTCCTGCTCTCCTTTCCTCTCCTTCTCCCCGGCCCCTCTCCTGCTCCTGGCTTGCTCTCATGCTGGCGGTCACTCTCATTCTCGCGCTCTCGCTCTGTGGGTGACTCACCTACCTCCTTCTGCCGTGCGCAGTTCCAACTGGACGACCTGGTGGGAGACGAGGACTTCACAGCAGCCGCCAAGCTGCAAGCAGCCATCCGCGCTCTGGAGGAGCAAGACGCCATGGCTGCCGTTTTCACTGAGCTCAAGGTGCGAACAAATGGTTGTTTGTCCTACCCTCGCTGAGCTTCCTGTCCTGCTTTCCTGTCCCACTTTCCTGTCCCGCTGTCCTGCACCTTTTTTCTTTCTCCACTCTTTCGCTTTCCCCTGCCGGTTCCCCTCTGACCTCCCTGCTCTCTCTCACACTCCTCTGCGTCCGGCGAGCAGGCGGCGGTGGCGGAGGAGAGGTACAGCGATGCCAAACACCTCCGCGACGATGCTGGCGCTGGCCTGGTGAGTGCGTGCGAGCAGCAAGTGTGACCCGAGGGGCATCGCTGTGACGCGGGAGGGGAGAGCGCAGGATCGTCTGTTATCAGCGCAAGGATCAAGAGGCAAGGGGAAGGAGTGGGTGTTGTCGTTTTGCCGTTTGTAGACTATGAAAGGCATCAGATGCAAAGGCAAGAAAGTAGACGATTGCAGCGTCCCAAGTGATGTGAGATGCGGGGTTGGGGCTGTGAGCTTGATGGCACATTGGTGGCCTGTGGTTTCTCCACATGTGTGCGTGCGTTCAGGTTGGGTGGTGGGCAGGGCTGGACGAGAGTGGGTCAGCGGACCCCTTTGGGCGGCTGGTGCACGTGTCACAGCAGCACGGCAAGCTGCTCGCCAAGTCGTACACTGCCAAGTAAGCCGCCAGGCATGGTCTTCTCTGCTCATAGTAGACGGGCTGCAGTGTGTGAAGTGATCGCTTACGCAACAGGATTGACCTGTAAGAAACTCGCAGAAACAGCCATATGGCAAGCTGCTCGCCAAGTCATACACTGTCAAGTAAGCCACTAGGCATGGCTCCAGCCAGGTCAGGAATGGTTCTGTCGAGGACAAGCGGGGTGAGCGTGGGCAGATGGGTTCGTGTATGGGGTGCGCTTCCCTCTTACTTTCTCATCTGCTGATTCACAGGATTCTGTTGCTGGTTCGCCTCTCAGACTCCTTTGTGTTTGTGGTTGTATCCATGTGATGCCCATGTGATGCACATGTGATGCCCATGTGATGCCCATGTGATGCCCATGTGATGCTGGCAGGCAGCTGTCCGTGGCAGGGCAGGGCATTCCCATCTTTGAGGTCTATGTGGCTCGCAATGCTGCCAACCCCAAGCGATACGACCGCCAGGTGTGGATTGCACTGTGTCATGTCAGGGAACGGCATGTGTGTCGTCATCACCCGGGCCGGGATTGTGCAGTGTGCATTCGTAGCCCTCTTGTGCGTCAAACTTGATGCTGCCAACGAACGCCATTGGGATGACCATGTGACTTTTGAGTCGACTCAAAAGTCACCTTGATGCTGCCAACGAACGCCATTGGGATGACCATGAACCGCCGTTTTCCTGCATTACTGTGCCGCTTCATCCCAAAGCCTTCCTCCCCGCGTCCCTGCTTCCATGTCTCCTCCGCCACGTCTCTGCTGCAACGCCTTATCTCCAACGCCCCTGCTGCAACGCATTTTGTATGCTTCTCGTGCAGGCTGTGTACCTGCACCATGAGACAGCCACCATGCAGGCCAAAGGCGCTTCCACCGCCACCACAAATCCTCCGCCAAGCACCACTGCCTCAAACAGCAGCAATGCCACCGATGCTGCCCCCCCAACTTCGACCCAATCATCAGCAGCATCCGCGTCTGCCCCATCCTCGCCGCGTGCAAAGGGTTCAGGATGCTGTGTCGTTCAGCTGGGGGAAGAAGCAAGCAGTAGATGATGGCAAGCTGGGTGATTCAGGGGTAGGGGCAGGAACAGGAGCAGGAGGGGTGGCAGGGGCAGGAGAGAAGGGTGGCAGTGCATCTCAATCGCCAGCAGATCCAGCCACAGGCCAGGCGTCACCTTCACCAGTCCCACCCACCCCTCCTCCCTCTCCCTCCTCTGCCTCCTCTCCTCCCTCCTCCCCTTCCTCTGCCTCCCCTGCTTCCTCTGTTCCCTCCTCTCTCCCACCCGGCGCTGACGATAGCTTATCGCGGGTGCTTGATTTCTTCCGGGAGCGGTTACCAGACATGAAGCTGCGGGTCTTCCCGGTCGTGTCCCCTGCTGACGTGGCAGCACCGGACGGGTCGGGCGCGGCGGGGACTGCAGATATTCCGCGAATAGTAGAGGATGTGGTGAAGCGGATTGCGAGGGATAGGGAGTCCGCAGCTGCTGCTGCGGGAGAGGCAGCAGCGTCAGCAGCATCAGCAGCAGCGGGCGAGGGAGGAAAAGAGGGGGATTCTGGCAGTGGCAGTGGTGCAGGTGATGGTGTGGGGAAAGTTGAGGAGAAAGGTGAGGGGCCACTACAACCAGATGGTACTAAGGATGGCAGTGAAGGGGATGTTCCAGGCAGAGGTGACACGAGTGACTGTGGAGAAGGGGAGAGCAGTTTGCAGGGGCCCAGTTTGCAGAGGAGTGGAACGTCTGGAGCTGGTGAGGCTGTTGGTGAAGCGGCTGAAGCGGGAGAGGCAGCAGGGCAGTCTGTACAGGCAGCAGGAGCAGGTGCAGGGAGCACAGGCAGTGGAGAAGACGACCCGAGGTGTGCCAGTCAGCTGCCAGAGCGTGACTTGAGGCGACTGAGGGCGTTCAGAGAGAGAAACGGGATGACTGGCGAGGGCACAGGTGGTAGCAAGACCTCTAATGGCAGTGACAGTGACAGCAGCAACAGCAGCAGCAGAGGAGAAGGCAGAGAAGAGATTTCAGGTGGGCTGGACAGGGAGGGACTCTCGGGCACATCTGGTCCTGGCAGAAGCAGTAGAGAGGGCGGGGGTGGTGGTGTTGGTGAGGGAGAAGGCGGGGCAGGGCGAGGCGATGGCGAGGATGCATCAGAGGATGCAGAGGGGCGGCAGGGCATTGCCGTGCGCGTGGTGGTGGGCGGGGTGTTCCCAGGTGACGGTGCAGGGGAGAGCGTGAGCAAGGTGCCGGCTAGGATAGAGTGGCGAGGCAAGGACGCGTTCGTACTCACTGTGGAGGACAGCAAGGGTGATGGGGATGGGGCGAGCAGCAGCAGCACCGGAGCATCCGCAATTGACCCAGCAACACCCCAATCGCCCTCTTCCTCCTCTTCCTCGTCCTCCTCCTCCTCGTCGCAGTCAGCAGCGGTGGCGGCGGCAGTGAGTGAGCGGCTGGCGTCAGCAGCGACAAGGGCAGCAGCGAATCTGATGCCGGAAGACGTGGCCAAGCAGCTGTGGGGCGTCGACCGTTTCTCAGGACCCGTAAGACCCTTCAGACCCGTGAGACCCCTCTCCTGCCCTTCCTTCCTCGCCCCTCCACCTCTCCGCCTTTCAATTGTTTGTGACTTTCTGAACTGCGCATGGGTCATCTGGCCTGGGCCCTGTGTGGTGTTCACGTCGCGACTTGTCACTCCCATGGCCTAACTGTTCTGCTGCATCCTTGTTTGCCATGGCTGGAGGTGTTCAAGGACACAGACGTGGCGCAGGTGGTCAATGCCCTATCCATTGCCCGATCCTCCCATGCCATAATTGGGCGGCTCACCATCACCATTGTCATCACGATGAGCAGGAGGTGTTCAAGGACAAGGACGTGGCGCAGCTGATCCGCACGGCAGTGCAGCACGTGCAGAGGAGGCGCTACACACTGCCCCGCACCACCGCCTTCACTCGCATCCATGCCGCCGATGCCACCACCGACCCCTTTGCTGGTACGTGCATCTTTTTTGCTGAGGCTGTGAGGCTCTCCTTCTCTTCTTCTGCAGCTTGAAGCATCGTAGGTTCGCGGTTTTTGCGCTTGTGCTTCATGAGTTGTTGCGTTTGGGTTCGGACACCCGCACTTAGTTTTACCCCTGCTTGTCTCTCCCTTTTTCCCCGCCTACCCCTGTAGGTTTGTATGTGGGTGCATATGGCCCGTACACTTCCGAGGCCATTCAGGTCAGGCGTAGGTTCGGAACATGGGAGGAGCCAGAGGGGGAAGAGGAGGAGAGCGATGTTGGGGAGGCAGGGGAGGGTACTGGGAGGAGGAAGAGGCAGGGCGAGCGGGCGTTGGTGCCGCCCTTTGAGTATGTGGAGGGAGTGAAGCTCACAGGCGATTTCAATGTGCCCGCTGGGAAGGTGAGCTCTGCCTGGCCATACTCCTGCTGGGATGGTGACTTCGACCGTACTGCTAGATTCATCTGGCTACTTTTGGCTTGGAAGGGGACGGGGATTTCTCTTCAAAATGTGGTTAGAGGCTGAGAGCTCCTTTTGCTGTTGGGTCTCTGGCCTATGGCTTGAACTCTTTGACTGACTGGTGATGTCGGACTGCTCTACATGTGTGTGGGGTGCGTGCGTTTCTGCCTGCAGGTGTCTTTTCGAGCAAAGATCGGCCGGCATTGGCAGATGCCGTTCCGAGGGGTGTACCCCGATGAGCTGGGTGTGGTGAGTCACTGCATGCTGCATCCACTTGTCCACATACTGTCATTTGTGTGGGTTGCCTTTTCTAAGCCGCCCAGAAATGGTCTGTCGTTTTGAGCATCTATCTCCTTTCTGGCAGCTGACCTTATTGACAGGTTGTTGTACCACGCCGGGCGAAGCACCTTTCTCAATCTGAATATCTCCGCATCCTTCCGTGCGTTTCGGCCACAATACAGATCTGTCTGATTGTGCTTTTTATCATCCTGACTGGCATGGTATCTGCACTCATGTGCCTTGTGTCGTTTCAGGTTGCGAGGTACCCTGGCCAGGGTCAGCTGGCAGAGCCGGGTTTCAAGAACCATCGTTGGGTGGACGGCAGGGCTGACTTTATCAGACTAAAATAGTCTGATTGTCTGAAATCTCAGGGTATTTTCCTACGGATCCTGATTTTTCAGACTTGTAAGATTTTCAAACATGAGTGCCTCAGACTTACTTGGTTTTGGATCCTGAGATTTTCAGAGTACTGACTTAGCCGATAATGGGTCTTCATACTACAGGGAGTACGGATCCTGAAATGCGGATCTGTGATTTCTACGTACATTCCGCTACGTCATATGTTGCCAGTGTACGAACACACTTCATGGCGCTGTCACGCGCAGAATCTGTCCTTGGCAACTTTTGCCACCCTTTTCCCTTAGAAATCTGCCAACTTGGCTCACTCTTCCACTCACGCGGGACCATCACTGCAGCTACGCGGTGTCAGCGAGGGAAACTGGTTAGCGTTGCGCCCCACGTGCTACATTTGTGGCAGTACTGTACTGCAGTGGTTGTAGTGTGTTCTGAGTACTTCAGACTTGTGTTTTTGCGGAACCTGAAAAATCAGAGTGGCCATTCTCTGGGAAATATGCCTCAGACTAAAAAATTTCAGAGCCCCCAGAACATCAGACTGGATTTTTTTGAATAGTCAGCCCTGCGCGGGACCATCACTGCAGCTACGCGGTGTCAGCGAGGGAAACTGGTTAGCGTTGCGCCCCACGTGCTACATTTGTGGCAGTACTGTACTGCAGTGGTTGTAGTGTGTTCTGAGTACTTCAGACTTGTGTTTTTGCGGAACCTGAAAAATCAGAGTGGCCATTCTCTGGGAAATATGCCTCAGACTAAAAATTTTCAGAGCCCCCAGAACATCAGACTGGATTTTTTTGAATAGTCAGCCCTGGTGGACGGGGAACTGCTGGTTTTCGATGGAAAGGTAACTCGCCTCATTATTCCCTTCTCTGCCTGATGCAATCAACCTTTTATCTAGACTGTTCCTCGTCTGCACCTGGCCATGCTTGTGGTGGTTTTCCATGCTTCGCTGATTTCATCCGGCTGTTTTGCCAACTTTTCACAGTGACTATTTATGTTGCTTGTTGGTGTGCTCCTTGATTAACAGGGTTCTCGCCACACAAATGGTGCTGAGCTCGGGTTTGTTTTCTCATTACCCGAGAGGCACTTCCTCATTCTTTTCAACCGTCTAAAGCTTCAAGATTAAAGTGAGGATATAGAAAGATGTACCTTTTTGTAATGTTGTAGAGGTGTACTTACTGTCAGGGCATGCAGTCTGCCACGCGTAGTTGTGTAAGTGCTGGAGGCATCATGACATGTTCAAGTATTGGTCCACCGCAGCATATTCGACTGGAGAATAACGTAACAATCTGGTGATGAGTCACTGGCTGGCGAAAACTCTGATACAGTGGGGAAGGTACTGTATTCCAACTGGGAAACGGATGAGGGCAAGCGAGACAGGCAAATGGAATAGCTGGATTTCGCGGAGGAACTGTTCTTCGTTGAAGTGAACCAACAAATGCCATTTCTCCCTGCAATTCCGCCATTCCAGACAGAGCGAAGGAAGCGCAATCGCAGTAGCAAGCCCACCACACCATACAAATTTTAATTTCCCAATTTCGGATAGGGTTCTTGTGGCGTGTATGGTAGCTGGCTCCGCTTATTTGAGTAACGACGACCTGCCTTTAGAACATTGTTACCTGTCAGATACCCTTGTGCACTCGCCGACGTGGCGGCTACAGAGGCTCCAGAGGTAGGCCCAGGGGGCGCCAAGAAGCGACAGCGATCCTCAGAGGTAGTTGAAGTCAAAGGAGGAGGCGGAATCATGGAGCCAGCAAGAAAGATAGCGATAGCCGTGGACTTGAGCGATGAAAGCGCTCACGCGGTTAAGTGGGCTGTCAAGAACTACCTGCGTCCTTCAGACAATGTGAGTTTGTTTGTCAACGTGTTGTCGGAAAAGGGATGCAGCGCGGAAGTTCGGAAAGATAATGGTCGACATTCGGGTGGTTTATAATCTGACTCAGAAGGTGCTAGCGTCATACCACCGGGAAAGAACTGTAAACTGTCCTGCCTGGTCTGTGAAACGTCGTTATGTTGTGTATCAGGTGGTGCTGTTACATGTTCGTCCCACCTCCGTCTTATATGGTGCGGATTGGGGTGCGTCGGAAATCACAGAGGAAGCTCCTGATAAGGAGACGAAGCAGAAAATGGAAGACGACTTTGATGCGCTGACCATTGCCAAGGCGAAGGATCTTGCCGCTCCATTGGAAGAGGCTGGAATACAGTACAAGACCCACATTGTGAAAGATCATGACATGAAAGAGCGTATCTGCCTTGAGGTATGCTGAATACAAGTGTTTCACGTGTTTCAACACAATACAGATTGCTACAACAAACGGTTCATTCATCCTGTGCTGCTTTCTGGATTAACTTGCAAGGTTTGAATGTCAGTGCCACTCCTCTTTGGCTGATAACAGGTGGAGCGAGCTGGAGTCAATGCCTGCATTATGGGAAGCCGAGGGTTTGGTGCAGAGAAGCGGTCAAGGAAGGCTCGCCTGGGCAGTGTCAGTGACTACTGTGTCCACCACTGTAAGTCTTGCAATCCATTCGTTCATGTTTCAACACTTGCTCATATTTTCTACAGACCGTTTCAGGTAAATGCTTTCAAATCTATGTGTTTCAGGTGACTGCCCTGTTGTGGTTGTTCGGATGCACGAGGATAAGAAGGAAGAGGAAGCGCCAGCAGCAACATGAGGTTACTTTGGTCCTTTCTGCCGTACTGGCATTACGGCAGATCTTTCTTTTTCCACAGAAGCATGGATATGCGGGCATTTTACAGGTCATGACTCCATTCGTACCTGTTTAGTTTAACCTAATATATTCTCCTAGGGTGGTGGGGTGGCATTGCAATGCCCGCTTGCAGATTCGTAGCCGGCTGACAGCGTTAAATTTGTAAAGGAATATCTGCCTTAGCTCTCAACTTTGAGACAGCATGATGGCCTGAATCAGGTTTGTTCTGTTAAAGCTCGGGTCTCAAATTTCCAAAGGTTTAACACCTGGTTGGGTTTGCCCGTCCGTGATTGGGTAACGAAAGACGAAAGTTTTTACGAGCGGGTGAAAAGAACACAGCGAACTCCCCAACAATCAAGGCCAAAACAAACCTGGGTGGGCAGGTTTGGGTGTAAGACGAGCCTTGGGGGACAGGTTTGCGTCTGATTGAGAACTATGCGACCCACCCTGGCGACGCAATCACGTTTTGAGGTTGACAGAAGTGTGAAGTCAGAAAATGAGTGCCCACGCCAAGCAACCATACTCCCGTCGCTGAGCCGTAGTAACACCGAAATAGAAAGCCAGCTAAGCATTATTTCCCCCGTTTACGATTAGTATGAGAGCATCTTCCTTGATCGGGAATGAGAGACGGGATGGGCGGATTTAGAGTGGAAAACGCGGATTGAGATTAGGAAGGGCAGATTGCGACTACTACGGGCGGAATGAGAGTAGGGATGTGCGGAATGAGTTTAGGGTTTGCGTAATGCGATTTGGAACGTCGAAAACAGGTAGGAAGGGCGGTGTGAGATGAAGAAGGGCGGATTGAGAGGCAGAAGGGCGGAATGAGAGGATGAAGGGCGCGATGAGAGAACGAGGGGCGGAATGCGAGGAAGAACGGCGGATGGAGAGGAAAAAGGACGGAAAGAGAGGACGAAGGGCGGAATGAGGAAGAAGGGCGGAATAAGAGGAAGAAGTGCGGAATGAGAGGAAGAAAGGCGGAATGAGAGGAAGAAAGGCGGAATGAGAGGAAAAAGGGCGGTATGAGAGGAAGAAGGGCGGAATGAGAGGAACAAGGGCGGAACGAGATTAAGAAGGGAGGGATGACAGTAGGAAGGGCGGAATGAGAGTATGAAGAGCGGAATGAGATTGCGGATGGGCGAAATGCGAGTAGTTATGATGGAATGAGATTATGGAAGGGCGGAATGAGATTAGGGAAGCGCGGAATGAGATCAGGGATGGGCGGAAGGAGATTAGGGGTGGGCGGAATAAGGCGCGGGTTGATGGGGAGGGGGAATGGAGGGGGAGAGCAGGTGCTGCCCGAGGAGGGGGAAGAGAGACGTCGTCCCTTTTGACAGGGAGGTGAGTGCATGGGGGAGGGGATGTACTAGTGGTGAGGGTGGTGGGGAGGAGGAGGGGCAGGGGCTGTGGCATGTGGTGCGGGCATGCGGGGTGGAGTCAGCAGAGGGGCTGAGTGGCGTGGTGGACAAGTGGGGCTGGACCGCCATGCATGTGGCTGCTCGGAATGGTGACTCCCCCGTGGTCAGTCTCACCTGCCTCCCCGCCTGCACCCATGCAGCACAGCCATGCACCAGCTCTCACCCATGCAGCACAGCCATGCACCAGCTCTCACCCATGCAGCACAGCCATGCACCAGCTCTCACCCATGCAGCACAGCCATGCACCAGCTCTCACCCATGCAGCACAGCCATGCACCAGCTCTCACCCATGCAGCACAGCCATGCACCAGCTCTCACCCATGCAGCACAGCCATGCACCAGCTCTCACCCATGCAGCACAGCCATGCACCAGCTCTCACCCATGCAGCACAGCCATGCACCAGCTCTCACCCATGCAGCACAGCCATGCACCAGCTCTCACCCATGCAGCACAGCCATGCACCAGCTCTCACCCATGCAGCACAGCCATGCACCAGCTCTCACCCATGCAGCACAGCCATGCACCAGCTCTCACCCATGCAGCACAGCCATGCACCAGCTCTCACCCATGCAGCACAGCCATGCACCAGCTCTCACCCATGCAGCACAGCCATGCACCAGCTCTCACCCATGCAGCACAGCCATGCACCAGCTCTCACCCATGCAGCACAGCCATGCACCAGCTCTCACCCATGCAGCACAGCCATGCACCAGCTCTCACCCATGCAGCACAGCCATGCACCAGCTCTCACCCATGCAGCACAGCCATGCACCAGCTCTCACCCATGCAGCACAGCCATGCACCAGCTCTCACCCATGCAGCACAGCCATGCAGCCCGCTCAACACTCTCTGAACCCACCGTCCATCACGCGTGTGCACTCATCCCTCCCCGTCCACGTGCCTGCACTCACATGCACCTTCAATAATGTCGCAGGCATGGACCGCACTCACCCTGCTGCCCGCTTCTCTCCCTCCCCGCCGTTCTCCCATGCATGTGCCTGCAGCTGCAGGCGCTGTTGCGCATGGGCATGCCAGCGGGGGTGTGCAGCACGCGCAACGCCACCACGCCACTGCACGTGGCGGCGTATGGCGGCCACGTGGACTGCATGTGCCTGCTGGCGGCTGTGCGTGCCTGGCGGCTGTGAGTGCCTTGCGGCTGTGAGTGCCATGATTGGTTCAATGCAAGAACGGTAGAAAGTGCTTCGCTCGTTTCTTTCTCCACCCAGCTTCTTAGCCCTCTTGCCTTCATGCGCTCTACCCTGCGGTGCCCTCTGCACCCCGCTTGAATTGCTCTGGCTCTGCATCTGCTTCCAGAGCCGCTTTCCTCCTCTTTGTATCCCTCCGCCTTCTCTCATCCACCATCCGCCCCCCGCTCTCTGCCCTCCGCCCTCTGCCCTCCCCCAGGGACTCCATTACACAATGCAGTGACCAAGCAGCAGTGGGAGGCAGTGAGATGACTTGCACACCAGGGAATAGAGCCAGCAGAGGTAGAAGCAGCGGGGGCCAACCCCAAGGCGGTTCAGATAGTGTGGGAGGAGCATGCGCGGCGGGCAGGCCAAGGAGGGGAGAGGGGGCATGGGTTTTGGAAGGATGGTGGTGTGGGTGCGAGCTGAGTGGGTGAATTCCTTGTGCTTGATTATCACCATGATGTATGATTGCCTGCTGCCACTGCTTAGTGGCAGAACACAAGGAGGACAGGGTGCTGAGCAGTGGGAAGGGGCGGGAGGGGGGGGTTATAGAGCCGCTCCCAGGGCAGTGGGGAAGGTGAGAGGTGGGGATGAAGCAGGGTGGATGCTTCAGTAGCGCTTGTGGGCCACTCGCTGCTGCTCGCTGCCCGCCTCCTCGCCTCCACTTGATTACCCTCTGCCTTGATTCTGTGCTCTATTTCTGAGTGCTCATCTTGTCTCCCCTTTCCCCTCTCATCTCCACTCTACCCCATCCCTCTTCCTGCCCTCCTGTCCCCATCCTTCTCCCTCAGGAGAGCCGTACACCAACTGCACCGCTCTGAACCCATTTGTGCAGTGGAATCTGCAGCCGCTGCTACCAGCCACTCCCCCCTCCTTCACCCTCACCTCACCACCCCCACCCGCCTTCACGCCGCCATACGCCCTCTCGTCCATCTGCTTGTGGACGTCCCTCTCCGCCATCGCACCTGGTCGCACACAAGCAACAGCCCTCCTGCCACTGCCGCCACACACAAAGCCTGCTGATGCAGATGCTGGCAGTGGAGGCGAGAAGGCAGTGGGGGGCGCAGTTGGTTCGAGTCAGGGCGTGCAGGGGGAGTGGGCAGTGGCGGGGTATGAGGCGATGCGTGTGGTGCAGGTGGGGGGTGGGTGGCGCCAGGGCAGCTATGGCCTGCCCTCCTCCCTCGCTGCCTCTGCTGCACCTGCTGTGTCTGGAAGGCAAGGTGACTTGTCTGGAAACCTTTGTTGCACTTCTTTGTAGTGATCAACTGAATGGCTCAGTTCAGTATTCTAAACACTGAAGTGATTTTTATAAAGAAGCATCCAACATTGATACATGTCATGGGTACTTGTCAAACCGGTACTATTTAATAGCTAAAGCTTAACAAAATTCATGCGTGGCGGACCAGTTCTGACAAAATCCTGAGTGTCAAGGCTGAAGCAGCTGGAGAAGAGGGAGGCTGAAAAGGAGGGGAGGGAAAGGGGGAAATGAGGGGAAGGAGTGAGTAAATTGATGGGGAGCACAAGGGGAAATTATTTTATAGCAGAGGGGGTTCTGTATTGACCTGGTGCAGTAGGGGAATTGATGGGAAAGCAGAGCTGTAATTTATGGGGAGCGGAGGGGGGGATAACAGGGAGCAGAGGGGGGAATGAGAGGGAGCAGAGGGGGGAATGAGAGGGAGCAGAGGGGGGAATGAGAGGGAACAGGGGGGGGGGAATGACAGGGAGCAGAGGGGGGAATGAGAGGGAACAGGGGGGGGGGGATGATAGGGAGCAGAGGGGGGAATGAGAGGGAGCAGAGGGGGGAATGAGACGGAGCGGAGGGGGGAATGAGAGGGAACAGGGGGGGGGGGGGGTGATAGGGAGCAGAGGGGGGAATGAGAGGGAGCAGAGGGGGGAATGAGAGGGAGCAGAGGGGGGAATGAGAGGGAGCAGGGGGGGGGGAATGACAGGGAGCAGAGGGGGGAATGAGAGGGAGCGGAGGGGGGATTGGGGGGAAATTAGGGGAATTTATCGCAAACTGGTATATCACCCTTCCTTCCCCCCTCTGTCCTCTCCTCCTCCCCCCCCGCAGAACATGATTGCATACAACACACAAGAAACAGGTGGTGGTACGGTGTAAAGCATGGACTAGCTTTAGCTGCGCCTCAGCTTGCTCTTCTGCTTCACCACTGAAAATTAGGGGAGTGGAGTAGGCAGAAAGAATTGTGTGAATGAACATGGGGGAGGTGGTGTGAGGTGCCAAGGGAACAACTGCAAGGGAACACAAGCAAGCGCACATGATGAAATAATGTATGGGGAGACAGTGATGGGTGCACGTGCATGGGAACTAGAGGGTGGAAGGTGAGGAGTGAGGGGGAAGGGGAGGGCATGAAAAGGAAGGGAAGGGTTGAGAAGGGATGGGGAAGGAAAGCGCAGGGCAGGGAGGGAAAGGCAGGCATTGGGAGGGCAGGTGACAACTGGGCAGAGGGTGGGGGGAAGGAGAGTGCGAGTGGGAGAGGACGGAGAGAGAGAGTGCGGGAGGAAAGGAGAGTGAGAGTGCGGGTGCCAGGGGATGGGGGGAAGCAGGAAAGGGGATGGGGGGAAGCAGGGAAGGGGATGGGGGGAAGCTGGGAAGGGGATGGGGGGAAGAAGGGGAGGGGATGGGGGGAAGCAGGGAAGGGGATGGGGGGAAGCAGGGAAGGAGGGGTAGCACCGGGGGGAAAGGAGGAGAAGCAGGGGGGGATAGGAGGGGTAGCACCGGGTCTCCCCCCCTCTCAGCGCACCTTCTCCCCCCCTCTGTCCTCTCCTCCTCCCCCCTCTCAGCGCACCTTCTCCCCCCCTCTGTCCTCTCCTCCTCCCCCCTCTCATGTAGTGCTTGACATACCCGCACCATGCGCGATTACGTGACGAATGGCGCGTGAGATTACAGGCGCATTCGCGCTGATGCTAAAGAGGCGCCTCATGCCTATAGCGGGGCGAGCGCTGAGGCTCAGGTGGCGCGTGATGCCTACAGCGGGGCGCACTCAGCTGCTTGCGGTGTGCGCGCTGCTTACAGCTGGGTGCGCGCCCCTTGAAGGGAGGTGTGCGCGCGCTCACCGGCAGGGTACACACCTTTCCCGCGTCACTCGGCGGGCCTTAGTCCCGCGACTTCGGTGATATCGCCCCATTGCCGCGTTTGCCGCGTTTGGCTCGTCCCTATCGTCCTTTCCACCCTTCATGCTACTGCGACCTTCCCCTTTCACCTAATAAGGGCGGTTGATGAATGGCGATGAACCCCACGCCGGCAGTTTTTGGCGAGGAGAGGACGAAGGTGGGGATTGGACACGCTAAATTTGATGATTTTCCCGTGTTCGGGCTTAGAGAATGCGGGTCACGGAATGCGCCAAGGTCTATAGGCGCACGGTTTCCCCTACATCATGATCGCGACTGAGTTTTCAAGGCTAGCTATACTAAAAGACGTGGCATATGGCTGGTAAAACACTTGAACTGGTGCCTACACGAACCGTTTTGTCAAAGTTGAGAGTTCTGAGTCTCATAATTCTGAGAGCTGTAAATGCTTGGTTTGCACGGGGAAGTGTGCGACGATGCCTCTGTTGTCGCACGTTTTTCTGTACACCTGTAGATTGGTTCGTGCAGGTGTGTTTCCCAACCTGCGTTGTCGTATTCCTGTCCCAACCAACTTTGCAACACGTTGTTTCCCTTTGGAGTTGGTTTTGCCTGGAACGAGGCCCTGTTTCAAACCTCTCCCAACCAACCTTCCCAAACCACCCCTTGCCTTGGTGTGCTTTGCGACAAACCCAGCTGTTACCGGATCCCAAGCGTTTAACACTTGGTCGGAAGGGTGAAATTTGAGACGCGAGCTTTAATACTAACGTAGTATTTTATCATGAGTGTAATAACAATGTGCTGAATCTGAAAGCGCCTGCATGACGTCACGAGTACGGTGCTTTTTGGGCGATGTGGGCAAGTGTTTCAGCTTTTCATTTGCGCTCTTTTCAACCACAAATTCCTCCTCACATCAGCCTCGCCTCATTCCTGCGGAGTGCGCATGTAGTTGAAGGAAACAACACGGTTCTCGAGTGAGCTGTGAGAAAATATCTTCCTTCCAGCATACGACATAGCTTCTTTATGTACTCTTAGCTTTTTTGAATTGTGAAGCAGCTAGCGGGGACCATGTCGGAAGAGAGCGCCTCGAGACGTCTCAGCGCTCTCAAAGACTTGCATGTCAGTTTTGTGGTCACGGACCCTAAACAGCAGGACAACCCTATAGTATATGTTAGCGATGCCTTCCTTGAGCTGACGGGTTACACCCGTAAGGAGGTGCTTGGACGAAATTGCAGATTCCTTCAGGGTCCGGGGACTGATAGAGGAGCAGTTGTGAAGATACGTGATGCTATTAGGTCGGTGGTATGTTTGTCGTATCTGATTGTCCCTCACGTCTTCCAGATTCTGACACCATCCGTCCGAGAATTCTCTGTTTTTGCAGACAAGAAGTTTAATGCCAGGTTCAGATTTTGAACTATACGAAGAACGGTACTTCATTCTGGAACCTTTTCCACATAACTCCTGTTCATATGGGTCCGAAGCATGCGCTTGAGCATTATATCGGCGTACAGACTTGTTTGCCTGCACGGTTTGAAGCCGCTGAAGAGGCTACAACAACATTGGCTTCCGGACAGAGCCCTGCAAGTGCTGGTGCTGCACAAGTCAGCCAAAATGGTGCGCAGTTAGCTGGTTGGCTGATGATTTTTTTTGTGACTGACTCGTGTGCCCGTCGCGCTAGGAGAGTGTCGCCTGGATTGCAGACTGCCATCAGGCTTGCCATTGCTACCTAGCTCGCGGTATTCCACAATTATGATCATTGAGAAGGAAGGGCGCGTCATCTGATGAATGGACTGCTAATGTCAGCTCCCTCGATGGTCCGTGTGCGGCATTGCAGATGGTGGCCTGCGTTTCCAAGAATATGAATCGCTTGCTCGGCTATCAGCCGAGCTTGCTTCGAATAAGTGGGCCTCTTTTTGTGAGCTCCTTCAGAGCTCGTTACCCGCTCAGAGAAATGCAGGTCCTGAGACTGCAGGCAGTTCAGTTGACTCGGTATCTCAGCTTCCAGGGACGCTTCAGACATCTCTGGCAAGAATTCATCAATGCATTGTACTGTGAGTTTACCTTCTCTGCATCAGGTGCATTCGTTTCCGTGTTTGGCCTTGCAAACTAACAACTGGAAATTGTGCAGGGTAGATGCCACAAACGCTGAGTATCCCATTGTCTATGCAAGCAAGCCCTTCTTAAGAATGACAGGTGCAGAACATGCAACTCAAGATTCCTCAAACTTTCTCATATATATTGCTAACAGACAAGTTTGTTTGCCAGGTTATTCTTGGCAAGAAGTGGTGGGAAAAAACTGCCGCTTCCTTCAAGGTCCAGAGACTAACCCGGACCATGTCCAACAGGTACGGTAATGCACTTGTATAATTGTACTCCTTAGTGATATGTGCGCATGCTGCTCGCATTTCTTTTGCAACGTGCATGATCCATTGCTGCCATGGACTTCGTGTGTGACAGCTTCGGGAGGCTATATATGGGAGTAGGTCATGTTCAATAAATATCCTCAATTACAGGTAAGTACCTGATGTATGAAAGGGCGCTGCACTTTTTCCTTGATGGGTGATTGTTTGCTGATGAGATACCCTACTTTTAAACCCTGTGCAGAAAGGATGGTTCGAAGTTCTGGAACCTGCTGCATGTGTCGCCGGTCAGGTCCTTTGATGGAAAAGTAGGTTACATTGTGGCTGACATTTCATGCATCTATGGTCCATGTAATTTATGATAACTAACGCGGTTATTTGGTTTTGCAGATTCACTTTTATTGTGGTGTCCTGATGGAAGTCTCAACAGGCGTGCAGTCGCCTATTCCCACAAATGCTTCTCAGCAGCAGCTTGGTGTTGTTAGCGAAGTTAGGATTGCAGTAAGAAGTCTACCGTGCAAAAACAAATAGCCAGAAGGCATTGCGGTTTCATGTGCAACTCTTGTCCCATCAGTGCAGTACAATGACGGGATAATAGAATTCTGGGAGTAGCAGAACTAGGGTACGCATCTGCAGCCTTGAAGTGTACGTGTACATACCGGAACTAATGTCGTAGAGTATATAGGATAGATACTGAAACTCACAAACTGCCCTGCTGTTTTATGAGTTTGTTGGTGACTGGCTGGTTGGTTGGCTGGAAGATTAGCTGTTTGCTTTCTGGATGTGGCTGGTGGGCTGACGGGTGGGGCTGGCAGTGTGACCATGGGTACTTTCCTACAACTAATGCACGCAAAGCCTGTTATTCGTATGCTCTTATGCATGCACCTTTGTAGACCTAGTGTAATCCAATGCACACCCCTGTGGTGGTTTCCTGTGGTTTGACCACCCTGTTGCATAGACTCTGTCACTAGTGTCCCTTCGTGCGCAAGTCCTGGGACCAATGCACATTATCTGTAATAATGTGCTTGCATCACAAGCCCTGTGGTTAGGATGCCCTGACACACAAGCTTGGTGGTTAGTACTCCTAATGTACAAGCCCTGTGATTTGCGTGCCAATAGTCATAAGCTCTGTGATTAGCCCTGTAGTTAGCCCTATGGTAAGCCCTGTGATTAGCCCTGTTGATAGCTCTGTGGTTAGCCCTGTTGCCCCCCTGTGGTTAGCCCTGTTGCCCTGTGGTTAGCCCTGTGGTTAGCCCTGTGGTTAGCCCTGTGATTAGCCCTGTGCTAAGCCCTGTGGTTAGCCCTGTTGCCCTGTTGTTAGCCCTGTGGTTAGCCCTGTGATTAGCCCTGTTGCCCTGTTGTTAGCCCTGTGGTTTGGCCCTACGCAGGGGGATGCTGAGGTGGGTGGGTCCGGTGGGGAAGGAGAAGGGGAGGAGGGGCGTGGGGGGGCTACGCAGGGGGAGAGGGGGGGATACCATACCTGAGAGGGTTACTAGTCAAGATAGCCTATCCTATCCTATCTGCTTCAGCTCTGGCATAGGTCTTCGTCTTCCTTCTTGGCTTCCAAACGGAGCTGCTTCTATTGTCCTGCAAGCAGACGAGAGGAGGAGGCAATGCAGACATAATTCGATCTTCTCTACATGTTAGAATAATGTATGATGAAATGATAGAATTTGTCTGATTCGGGCACATAATTTACATGGTTTACATTCCTACACAATGTACATGATTTGATATGATATGATATGATACGATATGATATGATATGATATGATATGATATGTTCGGTTGCTTTTTGCTCACCTTCACAGACAACGATGAGCTCGTCATCTGCTGGCCACTCCAGTTGGTTCCACTGCCTTTTTCTCCACCCTTGCCTCACCAGTCCAACCCTGTCATGTCAGCAAACACACCCCAAACGAAGCAGGGAGAGAGAGAGAGAGAGAGATGGGCACAAGAGAAACGAATCAGCCACAGCGAAATTGTTCCAGATGCCCGATTCCAGAATGCTTATGGTTCCATTTTTGTTAACAAAAATGGAACCATAAGAGAAGGTTCAAGGACACGGGCATAATGCTTATGGTTCCATTTTTGATAACGAATCAGCCACAGCGAAATTGTGTTGTCGGACAGAGAGAGAAACAGGCATGAAGTGCAAAGGGTTATGAGACGTGGACAAGAAGTGCGAGGTTGGAAGGGGTATTGGCGTACCATGCAAGTGTGGTGCAGAAGAGAAAAGGGGTGGGAGCAGAAACCCACCACAAGAAAAGGCCTCAAAGCATGTGCTAATCTCGTGCACCCTGGAGCTCCAATGCTGCTGCCAAAATGATGCTCCGCCCACTGCTGCTGATCACACCTGAAGGAGTAAACACGAGGGAAAAAGGCATGCGAGGAAAGAGGAGGAGAAGAGTGAAGAAAGTGGAGAGGAAGAGCCGAGAAATAAGGAATGTTAAGAAAGAGGAGAGGAAGAGCCGAGAAATAAGGAATGTTAAGAAAGAGGAGAGGAAGAGCCGAGAAATAAGGAATGTTAAGAAAGTGGAGAGGAAGAGCTGAGAAATAAGGAATGTTAAGAAAGAGGAGAGGAAGAGCCGAGAAATAAGGAATGTTAAGAAAGAGGAGAGGAAAAGCCGAGAATTAAGGAACGTTAAGAAAGAGGAGAGGAAGAGCCGAGAATTAAGGTATCTGAAGGTAGAGGAGTGAAGGTAAAAGAAACGAGAAACAGAGAGGTGATGCAACAGAGAGGCCGACAAAGGGAAGTTGGGGCAGAGAAAAAGAGGATAGAGCGAACAGCATTACCAAAAGAAGACAACCTGTTTGACTTGACGTCGCTTGTAGTCCGTCCCATGCCACCATTGCCGTGCCTGTTTGCCAAAAGGTGGCACAGGTGGATATGAGAGCAGAGAAGGTGGCGTGAAAAAGCGGATTGGAAGGAAGCGAGAGGGGACGGAGCATAGTGCTTTGAGGAGATGAGGGAAGGGAGGGGATAGGGAGCGTACCACAGAAAAAGGGCACTTGATTCGCTCTTGCTTGTTGCCCCTTGCTGATATTGCTGCTGCTGCCCCTCCCGTGCCGTGCTGTGAGGGCTGGCGAGGCGACACAAGGAAATGTGGAGGGGACCTTAGCATGCCGCTTGACCGTTGCTCCCCCTGACACAAAAAGGAGTGGCACGGGAGAATAAACTGACAAGCAACTCGGGGACCTTACCTTTTGAGACGTCTCAGAAAATCGTGTCTGCTCATTGTGTTCCCTCCAGCGCCCCATTTGCTGCCTCGCCTTGCTGTCCTCGTCTGATGGAAGAAAGTCAGGGAAAGGAAGAGTGGTGACAGGGAAGGAAATACAGAGAAAAGGGTGCAGGAAGAGTGGTGACAGGGAGTGAGGCGGAGCAGAAAAGTGTAGCAATGTGTAGAGGATCAATGGAGCAGGCCACAGCGAATGCAAAGGAAATAGATCTATCAGAGGAGACTCACCACATCACAGTCTACTTTCTCATATCTGCTCCTTTATCTCTGCTCCCACATGCCTGCTCCCCTGCGTCCTCCTCTGTTCTCAAACACCTGCGAAGAACAAGGAGAACAAGAAGGAACGAGGACGATAGAATAAAAGCCAAAGTCTAACAGCCTACGGAGGAGAAGAGGAGTGGTCCGAGCGAAGAACTTCAGGACAGGAGACTAGGGAAACCGAGAACAAGATGACGGAACGAGAACAAGATGAAGGAAAGAGAACAATAGAATAAAGGCATAAGGAGGACCTTACCAGTGCGATGCAGGAACCTCCTCTGCTCCCTCTCCTCCGCCTCAGTGCCCTCTCCTCCTTTGCATGCATCGTCCGCTGCTCCCTCTCCTCTCCATGTATCATCGTCCGCTGCTCCCTCTCCTCTCCATGTATCATCGTCCGCTGCTCCCTCTCCTCTCCATGTATCATCGTCTGCTGCTTCTCCTCCTCTGCATCTTACGTCCTCTGTTCCCTCTCCTCCTCTGTTCCCTCTCCTCCTCTGTTCCCTCTCCTCCTCTGTTCCCTCTCCTCCTCTGTTCCCTCTCCTCCTCTGTTCCCTCTCCTCCTCTGTTCCCTCTCCTCCTCTGTTCCCTCTCCTCCTCTGTTCCCTCTCCTCCTCTGTTCCCTCTCCTCCTCTGTTCCCTCTCCTCCTCTGTTCCCTCTCCTCCTCTGTTCCCTCTCCTCCTCTGTTCCCTCTCCTCCTCTGTTCCCTCTCCTCCTCTCTTCCCTCTCCTCCTCTGTTCCCTCTCCTCCTCTGTTCCCTCTCCTCTGTTCCCTCTCCTCCTCTGTTCCCTCTCCTCCTCTGTTCCCTCTCCTCCTCTGTTCCCTCTCCTCCTCTGTTCCCTCTCCTCCTCTGTTCCCTCTCCTCCTCTGTTCCCTCTCCTCCTCTGTTCCCTCTCCTCCTCTGCTCCCTCTCCTCCTCTGATCTCTATCCTTAAAGAAGAAAAAAAAACAAGCAGCGCCACAACCTAAAGGAGAGGAGAGGATTTCCAGCCTACAGGTTACAGTGACAAGCTAAAACAGGCAGAGGGAGCTTCTCACCAGAGCAGAGTGTGTGAGCCGTTGTTGTGTGACTAGCAGCATCAGAAGCAGCGCCATCACTATCAGCGCCAGCACCATCACCACCAGCGGCAGCAGAGCCGTAACCTGCTGCACACGCACCCTCCCACACCCCCTGCATTCTTGCTGTTGGGATGAAAGAAGGGGAGGCGCAGAGGGACAGGTGAAAGAGGTACAGAAAGGGAGTGGGGGACTGGAGCTGCAGTCCCAGCTGGGGTGGGACTGGAGCTGCAGTCCCAGCTGGGGTGGGACTGGAGCTGCAGTCCCAGCTAGGGTGGGACTGGAGCTGCAGTCCCAGCTGGGGTGGGACTGGAGCTGCAGTCCCGGCTTGGGTGGGACTGGAGCTGCAGTCCCCGCTGGGGTGGGACTGGAGCTGCAGTCCCAGCTGGGGTGGGACTGGAGCTGCAGTCCCAGCTGGGGTGGGACTGGAGCTGCAGTCCCAGCTTGGGTGGGACTGGAGCTGCAGTCCCAGCTGGGGCGGGACTGGAGCTGCAGTCCCAGCTGGGGTGGGACTGGAGCTGCAGTCCCAGCTTGGGTGGGACTGGAGCTGCAGTCCCAGCTGGGGTGGGACTGGAGCTGCAGTCCCAGCTTGGGTGGGACTGGAGCTGCAGTCCCAGCTTGGGTGGGACTGGAGCTGCAGTCCCAGCTTGGGTGGGACTGGAGCTGCAGTCCCAGCTGGGGTGGGACTGGAGCTGCAGTCCCAGCTTGGGTGGGACTGGAGCTGCAGTCCCAGCTTGGGTGGGACTGGAGCTGCAGTCCCAGCTGGGGTGGGACTGGAGCTGCAGTCCCAGCTGGGGTGGGACTGGAGCTGCAGTCCCAGCTGGGGTGGGACTGGAGCTGCAGTCCCAGCTGGGGTGGGACTGGAGCTGCAGTCCCAGCTGGGGTGGGACACGAGCTGCAGTCCCAGCTTGGGTGGGACTGGAGCTGCAGTCCCAGCTTGGGTGGGACTGGAGCTGCAGTCCCAGCTGGGGTGGGACTGGAGCTGCAGTCCCAGCTGGGGTGGGACTGGAGCTGCAGTCCCAGCTGGGGTGGGACACGAGCTGCAGTCCCAGCTGGGGTGGGACTGGAGCTGCAGTCCCAGCTTGGGTGGGACTGTAGCTGCAGTCCCAGCTTGGGTGGGACTGGAGCTGCAGTCCCAGCTGGGGTGGGACTGGAGCTGCAGTCCCAGCTTGGGAAACGAGAGAGCAAACTGTTGAGTCGAGATTCGCTCTTCAAGTTTCAGCTTGGGAAGCTATCACCTGGGGAGGGTCCCTTGGTAGGAACGCTGGCAGCAGCTGGAGGAGGAAGGAGGGGTGGCAGGAGGAGGGCAGCAGGCGGGTGGAGAAGATGGGTGCACTTGCAGCAGCACCCCTCGCAGCAGCACCCCTATAGCAGTACCCTTTCCAGTGGCTGCCTCTGCCGCCCCTTGCTGCTCGCACCCTTGGCCTGGAACAAGTGATAGAGTTGAGGAAAGGGATAGGGACACGGGATGCAAGGAAAACAAAAAGGCGATGGTAAGGCAGGGAGTGCAAGCGTCAAATGAACAGGAAGTGCAAGCGTTAAATGAACCAAGGCAGGGAAAACTGGAGAAAATAGTGGAAGGATGCAGTGAAAACAAAAAGGCGATGGTAGAACACAGCACTAGGGCGGCGAGCTAGCAGGCAAGGGGGACGAGGTAAGGAAGGGACGCGGCAATGAGTATGAATGCATTCTACTCTACCCTCCTAGGACCCTAGTGTGAGCTCAAGCCGCCCCAGTGCCATGCGCTACCATCGCCCAAACGCCGCTCATCTCTCACTCAACTTTTGACGCTCATCTCTCATTTTGTTTTATCGAGCATGCAGCGAGGAAAGAATGCGGTACAAAAGCGGGCAATGATAAACACGAGGCAGAAGCGGTGAGGATGGAAAGGCCGCAGGGAGAGGGAACTTAGCCGTATGGGGTTGCTTGCACGAGGCACTTGCCCTGCTGTGAATGCCTGCCGTGCGTCATCCCACCGCCCTTCCTCCCCACATACTGCCAAAGCACTGGACAAGAGGGGTGCAGCAAAGGAAAGCAAGAGGATCGAGCGGGGGAAAAGGAACTCAAGAAGTCAGTCGAAGCAAGATGTATAGCAAGAGGCAGAGTTACGCATGCAAGGAGGCAGAGATACCAAGAATGAATGAGTAACAGAAACAAAAGTTGAAGATAAAAAGCACATAGCACTGTGACACTGTGAAAGGGGAGGCGATGGTAGCACACAGCACTAGGGCGGCGAGCTAGCAGGCAAGGGGGTCGAGGTAAGGAAGGGACGCGAACATGAGTATGGATGCATTCTACTCTAACCCCCTAGGACTCTAGTATGAGCTCAAGCCTTCCAAGTGCCATGTGCTACCATCGCCAAACGCCGTTTAAAAACGACTCTTTGTTTTTCGAACATACATCGAGGAAATAGCGCGGTACAAAAGTGAGCAATGATAAACACGGACCAGAAGCGGTAAAGATGAGAAGGGAAAGTGTGAGGGGACTTAGCCGTATGAGGAGTGATTCCACGCGACAGAAGCAGCGAAGCGAGGTAGCAGTCGTTCCAGCAGGATCCACTCCGCTGGCCACTTTGCAGCTCCGAATGAGCGTCCCTCGTTGCCCACTTTGCAGTAATCGTACTCTTGGTCGTCACCGTCAGAAATCGCCGTTCCGTCGTCAGCGTCAGAACTAATCGTACTCTTCGTCACCGTCAGAAGCGGCCGTGACTGACCGTCTCAGCTATCACCGTTGGAGGCGGCCGTGTCGTTCGTCACCGTCAAAACGCACCGTCTCAGTCACCACCATTAGATGGCGACGACTCGCTACTCGAAGTCCGAAATACTCAATACTGACCCGAAAGCTCATTCGTACAGCTGTCGCCGGCACGATATCGGCCTCGGTCATCACCAAATCGAACCGTTTCTCGCTGCTGGAGAGCGGCGACGCCTCGCTACTTGAAGGAGCGTATGGAGATTGGAAGAAGATTTATGAAGAATCTCGGCAAACCACCTCTTTTCCACGCTCGTCAGATGTCTAGAATACTCGGTCTAAGTTGTTCTGAAATACTGGAATAGAAATCAGAAGTGCAGTCAAGTGAGAGTAATGGGTAGATGACGGACATAAAACTGTTCCGAATGACTACAGCTTCCAAGCTTCGAATGTCTCTGCCCGACTATATCAGACGTACAGATCGGTTTTCTTCTGAACGATGACTACGACTAAGGTTAAAAGGCTACTGGTTCGCGTCAGGAGACACAGCCATGGATTGCAACGATTCGTGATCTCCGTCTTGTCGACCTTGAGATAAACATATCTAAAGATTACAAGGTCTACGACTATGATTGAGAACCATTAATGGTAGGTAACAAATAGCGGCAGCCATGGACTTCGGCTTAGCTAGCTTATCCTCCCGGAATCAGTCAGCGAACTGCTGTGAGCATGATGAGAAGGAACGGCATTCAAGGAAGCTGGAGAAAGGATTTCAGGAAGAGAGAAAGAGGCAACCATCGGTGAAAAAACAGTCGGGTTCAGTGGTGGAATCCAGGGTCTAGATGGATTCGGAGTGGTGAAAGAGTTCACAGAGGCGAGGAGGAACCATTCATTTCCCCTGCTCAGGTGCAGGCCGCCGCACCGTCGGCGGATGTACATTTTTCAAGGAAAAGGTGGTGTGTATTTTTTTTTTTTTTTTGGAAAACGCAGCCTCAAGAACACCCCAGTAGAACAGCATTGTCGACGGGTATACCTGCTACGTTGGGGGAACATACGACTCGCGAAATTTTGAGTTTGAGTTTTGCGAGGATATCCTCAGAATCTCCGCAGCACGGCGGTTCTGCAGCTCCGCCGTTTGAGCGGGAATCGCCTGTCAGACGCGCAAGGTTCTGACACAATGCCATGATGTCATGTACATGCGCCTTGGATTACGACACCATGATGGTTGGGGTAATACCGGGTTGATCGAACGGTCGAGCGCAGCTTTCCTTAGCATGATGTGTTTCTCCCTCTTATTTTGCGCAACACACGAAAGATATTGCCGAAGCATGTTTGTACCGGAACTATGCCAGCAGATCAACCATTATCCCTCATTCACAACACCTGATCAATCCCATTCTACTGAATGATAGAGAATGCCTTCCAGCAAAGTTTGAGCTCCCATCCCAAGTTTCACATGGGTACATGCGAGGCAAACAAAATTCCGCACTTTGTCATTTAAGGCGTTATATTGCAATCAAAAAGTCATACACGCAGTAAAACACACAGGCGTTGCTTCAAGTGATGGACTTACCGGTACTACAAAGGTTTTGTACGTATGAAAACTTATGCATTCTCAATGCAGCGGAAAATCTGCTGTAAACCAAACGGGAGGTGCTAATTTGTAGGTGGGAGCATGCATTCACCCGTGGATGCACGAAAAGGGACATGGCCTCCTCACCCGTGATTCCATCCTCCTCACCCTTCCTGCATGCCCTCTACCTTGTGTGAGTGGGGTGCGGTTGGAAGTCCCTCCTCCCACCATCAGGCGCACAGACCCCCTCATGTCATGCGCCTCGCTGTCAGGGCCCCACCTGCCTCTTCCTCACCCTTCCTGCATGCCCTCTGCATCACCTGTGCCGGATGGCGGTGGGGGTGCCTCCTCCCCGGCATCAGGTGCACTACCCCCCTCATGCGCCTCATTATCAGCGCCACCACCTGCCTCCTCCTCATCCGAATCTGCCAGCTGCCGGCGCCGCTTGCGAGCGGGCACTCCCTGCCATGCCAGGAGGGACACGGACATATACAGTAGGAGAAATTCAGGGATGAAACGCAAACAAGAGGGACTGACACAAGAGGACCAAGGGAGCACGGAAGAAGCAGGGGACAGGCGGACTATGCGCAGATGATCGAAGGGAGCCAGACCCACCTGGTCATTGCCGTCCCCTCGTGCATCCCCTCCCTCCTCCTCATCCACCAGCCCAGCTGCAGCCAGGGCATCCTCCTCCTCCCCCTCGCCCCCTCCACCTCTCCCCTTCCTCTCCCCCCTCGGACTCCCTCCCTCATCTCCCGACCCCTCCCCTCCACCTCCTCTCTCCCCATCAGACCCCCATGGGTTCTCATCCTCATGCCTTTCCTCCCGCTCGTCTCTCCCGTCCCTGTCACCCCCCTCGTCCCTGTCGCTCCTGCTCCTGCTCCTGCTCCTGTCCCTCCCCTCGCGATGCTTCTTCTTCTTCTTCCGCTTCTTATCCTTCCTCCTCTCCCTCCTCTCCCCGTCCTCCTCCCCCTCTCGCTCCCTCTCCCTCTCCCTCTCCCTATCCCTATGCTTCTCCCGTTTCTTCTCCTTGCGTCGCTCCTTCTCCCTGTCTTTGCGGCTCTTCCCCCCATCCCTGCCGTCCTCCCCGCCCTCCTCATCGTCCTCCACAGCCTTGGGCCTTTCGTTGCGCTTCCACATATCCTGCAGTGGAACCATAGACGCAGTGGATGAGGCAGCAGAGAGGGAGTGGAAGAGGCAGCAGAGAGGGAGTGGAAGAGGCAGCAGAGAGGGAGTGGAAGAGGCAGCAGAGAGGGAGTGGAAGAGGCGGCACGAGTTTTTAGACGTCTCCTCCACTGCCTTGGGCCTCTCGTTGTGCTTCCACATATCCTGCAGTGGCACCATAGACGCAGTGGATGAGGCAGCAGAGAGGGAGTGGAAGAGGCAGCAGAGAGGGAGTGGAAGAGGCAGCAGAGAGGGAGTGGAAGAGGCAGCAGAGAGGGAGTGGAAGAGGCGGCACGAGTTTTTAGACGTCTCCTCCACTGCCTTGGGCCTCTCGTTGTGCTTCCACATATCCTGCAGTGGCACCATAGACGCAGTGGATGAGGCAGCAGAGAGGGAGTGGAAGAGGCAGCAGAGAGGGAGTGGAAGAGGCAGCAGAGAGGGAGTGGAAGAGGCGGCACGAGTTTTTAGACGTCTCCTCCACTGCCTTGGGCCTCTCGTTGTGCTTCCACATATCCTGCAGTGGAACCATAGACGCAGTGGATGAGGCAGCAGAGAGGGAGTGGAAGAGGCAGAGAGAGGGAGTGGAAGAGGCAGCAGAGAGGGAGTGGAAGAGGCAGCAGAGAGGGAGTGGAAGAGGCAGCAGAGAGGGAGTGGAAGAGGCAGCAGAGAGGGAGTGGAAGAGGTGGCACGAGTTTTTAGACGTCTCCTCCACTGCCTTGGGCCTCTCGTTGCGCTTCCACATATCCTGCAGTGGCACCATAGACGCAGTGGATGAGGCAGCAGAGAGGGAGTGGAAGAGGCAGAGAGTGAGGGAGCAAGAGAGGCAGTGGGGTGGAATAGGTGGGGCCCAAGGGCAGGGAGGGAAGGAGGCGAGGGGCAACAGGCAGTCAGGCAGAGGAGAGCAGAATTTTTTTGAAGGCAGATTTAAAAAAAGGAGGACACAACCAAGATTCGAGGAGGAGGAGGAGGATACAACTTAGAGGAGAAGCACTAACCAGACACAGATGGATTCGCACATCACACACCAATTCCACCACCCATCCCCCCCCCCACCAACTCGTACCCACGACCAACCCACCCACCACCCACCACCCTCCCCTCCCCCCAACACCCCACCCACCATCCTTAATCCCTACCCCCCACCCAACCCTTTCCCCACACCCGGCACCCACTTCTCCTCCCCCCCCCCCCCCCCCCCCCACCATGCGGCGCTTGATCTCTTCCTCCTGCTCCAGCAGTCTCCTCTCCTCCTCGTCCCTCCTCCCCCCCACCATCCCCACCCCATCCCCCCCACCATACCATGCGGCGCTTGATCTCTTCCTCCTGCTCCAGCAGCCTCCTCTCCTCCTCGTCCCTCCTCCCACCCACCATCCCCCCCCCATCCCCCCCACCATACCATGCGGCGCTTGATCTCTTCCTCCTGCTCCAGCAGCCTCCTCTCCTCCTCGTCCCTCCTCTGCCTCTCCGCCTGCCACACAGCCATGGGGAGGAAATGCGGAGCAGAGTGCGGGGCAGGGTAGAGCAGAGCAGAGAGCAGAATCTAGGGCAGGGTCACATGGGGGGAGTGTGAGGGGGAACAGCAGCACTGCTGCAACTCACTCACTGATATCCCTTTCCAACACTCACCAGCACTCATGGGAACCTATCAATCAGCACCCAGCAGCACCCACCATCACCCACCAGCACCACACACCCTACCTCCACGAGCTTATCCTCCTCCGCTCTCTTTTTCGACGCCTCTACCTCTGCCACCTGCCTCTCTGCCTCCGCACGTTGCTGCTCGCACACACAGGGACAGGGGAGGGGAGGGGCGGGGCGGGTTAGGCATACATGCAAGGGGCATATGTAAGGCATGGATGCATGCAAGGGGAGCGTACAAGAATGAGAGAGAGGAGAAGCGCGGGAGAGGGTAGGAGGGGACATGAGAAGTGGAGAAGGGGAATAAAGCAGGGGTGAGTGGCAAAGTGGGGAGGGGGAGGGGGGGTAATAGGAGTGAAGGACGGTGAAAGGCAGGAATACGATAGGTGGTACTGACGGGGGAGAATGAGACAAGATGCATGGGCGTTGGGGTGGTGAGCGATGGGGTCATGCGGGATGGGGTAGTGAGAGCGGGGAATGAGATGAGGAAGCTGAGAGGGGAAACGGCGAGAATGAGAGGAGGGAGAGAGCTGACCTTGCGCTGCTGCTCCTCCCTCTCCGCCACCTCCAAGTGCTGCTTGGCTGAGCTCAGCACATGCTGTTGGTGATGGTGATGGTGATGGTGATGGTGATGGTGATGGTGATGGTGATGGTGATGGTGATGGTGATGGGGGTGGGGATGGTGATGGTGATGGTGATGGTGAGGGTGATGGTGATGGTGATGGTGATGGTGATGGTGATGGTGATGGTGATGGTGATGGGGGTGGGGATGGGGTTGTGGGTGGGGGTGGGGATGATGATGGGATATTGATGCAGTGAAGTCATCATGCCAGACACACGCATTTCACAAGCATGGATGCATTCTCGAAATTGTGAAACACACATAAAGACGTGTTTCGATTCGACTCGAAACACACCAGAAAGCGAATGTTGGTTCAAAGACACATAAAAAAGCATTGACATACTCATGCTACACATCTCTCAAAGGCAGCTGGACACTCATCTGATGCTGGCTTGAAAGCACCTGAATGCACGAAACTCGGAAACACCGAACAGTACTCGAGATGCGAGTTGGCCTGAGTGCGAGTTAACAGTCCTCAGGTGCATAGGTGCACCTGAGTGCATGGTGCTGACTGACGTGCGGACTAACTGTGAGAATCACCTGGCAGTACTCGAGATGCGAGTTAGCCTTCTTCTTGTCCACCCCCCCCTGTGACCCCTGCACTCCCCGTGTTGCCAGCTGGCATGGTTGCACAGTCACAGTCATATAACACATGCATGCTCACAATCGCAGATACGCAGTCATAGTCACACATGCACAGTCAAACATGCACAGTCACACATGCACAGTCACACATGCACAGTCACACACATGCACCGTCACACACAACCCTCAGCCCCCCAAAACACACACAGAGCATCACAGACGAATGCATGAGTACAACAGGCAATGCTTGCTTGTGGGACAAACACAATGCAGGTGAAGAACGCATGGCATGAAGGAGTGATGCAGCATGAACAAGGAGTGTGTTCTGGCGTGGAGCCACAATGTGGTGAGTGGGTGGCATGCGCACCTGAGAGAAGAGGCGGAGGGCGGTCTTCAAGTCCGACACCACCTTGCGCACCTGCAGCACACGAGCACAGAGCATTGAGAAAGAGAGGCGTTGGGAGGCAGTTGCACTCAAGTGTGAGGATGTGGGAGGCGGGTCCTAAAATCCGACACCACCTTGCGAGCCTGAAGCAGATGAGCCATCACAAGGCACGGGGAGCACAGTCACTGTATCGTCTGCAGCGCCACCACTCCCTTGCTCCCTCCTCACCCTTCCCTCCCCTATCCTTTCCACACCCCTTCCCCATACCTGCTCTGCCGTCCGTTTGTCCTGTTTCAGCACAGTCACAGCCATCTTCTGCAGCGCCACTGCCACGTTGAAGCGCAGGGCGGCGTTGTTCGGCGCCACATGCACCGCCAGCAGCAGCGAGCGGCGGCACTGCGCCAGCTGGTCGGCGTCGTACTGCGCGCGTGCCATATAGGACAAGGTGCGCAGGTGGAAGCCCTCGGCCCCACTCGCCCCCACTGCCCCGCTTGCAAAGAAGCGCTTCAGAGTCTTCTCATACTGTTGAAAGGGGAGGAGGAGGAAGAGGGGAAGAGAGGAACACTGGGTTTCGTGGTGTTGGTGGAAAGGACACGAGCAAAGAATGCTGCACTGCAAGCATGAGCTCACTGCACCCAGCAGCTCCAATAAAGCACAGTGCGCTTACCAACTTGACAGCAAGAGCGTAGTCCCCCTTAGCCAGGTGCACATTAGCGAGGTTCATCCAGACGTCTGGTAGGTCGGTGGCGCCGGGAGCAGAGGAAGCTTCCTGCACGGAGGTGAAGATGTCCTTTGCCACGTCGAACAACCCCCTCTCCGCCACCACACTCCCCACCCCGTTCGCCGCATACATGTTGCTGCTGCTGCCTGTCAGTGCCTGGGGGGTGGGGGAAGTGGGGGGTGTATGGGGTTATTGTGGGTGAGGAGAGGCGCCTAATAGAGGAGAGGCGCCTATTAGAGGAGGGGCGCCTATTAGAGGAGAGGCGCCTATTAGAGGAGAGGCGCCTATTAGAGGAGAGGCGTCTATTAGAGGAGAGGCGTCTATTAGAGGAGAGGCGTCTATTAGAGGAGAGGCGTCTATTAGAGGAGAGGCGTCTATTAGAGGAGAGGCGTCTATTAGACGAGAGGCGTCTATGAGAGGAGAGGCGTCTATTAGAGGAGAGGCGTCTATTAGAGGAGAGGCGTCTATTAGAGAGGCGCCTATTAGAGGAGAGGCGCCTATTAGAGGAGAGGCGCCTATTAGAGGAGAGGCGTTTATTAGAGGAGAGGCGCCTCTAAGAGAGTGGGTTGGCAAAAGAGTGAGCAGAGAGCAAGCGCAGGAGGAACTGCTGATCCATGTTGAAACAGAGTTGAGATTACACGTTTCAAAGGAGTGAACGCATCAAAGCATCTCTTCCCCATCTTGGGAAATCATCGCATCGTCCCACCAATTCACCCCACCACCCACCTTGTGGAACATCACCCACCTTGTGGAACATCTCCCGGGCCTTCTCAAGGAAGGACGCCTCTGCCTTGGTGTCCCGCGTGGGGCGAGCACTCATGTTCAAGTTCCAGTTGCCCTGCCATACAGGGTGGGTTGACACACAGCCTTTGGGGTTAGTGCAATCATTAGTGAATTCCATTCCACGAGAGAGCAGCGGTGCATTTCTCAGCAGAGTTCTCTTGAGTGCTACAATGTGCTTGGGCTTGTGCTCGCCTGCACCAAGCAATGAGCATGCTAAGTCAACTCAAACACCTCTTCACTCAGAACACCGACCAGAGTGACGAGAGCAGTGGTACACTTCTGAGGGGAGAGGTCCACAATGCGCTTGAGCGTGCCCTTGGCTGCCGCATGGTCGTCCCTCTCCGCACTAAGCCTCTTGTGGCCTGACTTCTGAGATGCGCCAAAAGAGCAGAGCACCTACCAGAGCAACAAGGGCGGCAGTGCACTTCTCAGGCGAGAGGTCCACGATGCGCTTGAGTGTATCCTTGGCTGCCGCATGGTCGTCCCTGTCTGCCTCCGCCCGGCTGCGCAGCAGCAACGCGTCCACGCTGTCTGGGGCGCGCTGTAGCACGGCTGATATCTGCAAAAGGCGCAGAGCAGCAAACGAGGACCAGGGAGCGAGGAATCCACAACGCAGCAGGAGAGTATCCATGATGACAAACTGTGCGATGCCAGAGCTCTCATCTGCAATCTCCAACCCCCAAACTCCCGAACTCCTCTCACATGTGTCATGGCAGCACCCATTCCCCCCCTCTGCTTCTCACATGTGTCATGGCAGCACCCATTCCCCCCCTCTTCTTCTCACATGCGTCATGGCAGCACCCATCCCCTCCCTCTGCTTCTCACATGTGCCATGGCAGCACCCATTCCCCCCCTTCCGCTTGCTCTCACATGCGTCATGGCAGTGGCATTGTCTCGGCGATCCAGTGCCATCACTGCCAGGCGCAGATGGCAGTCCAGGTAGGACGGGTACTGGTGGGGGAATGGAGGAATGGAGGGGAATGGTAGGAAGGGAAGAGGGGAGGAGAACGGGTGTGTGGGGTGAGCATGGAGAGTGGGGGCAAAGGCAGCTTCTCAGGCGACTGGAAAGACGCAGGTGGCAGTCGAGGTAGGAGGGGTACTCAGTGGGAGGGGAGGGAAGGGGAGCGTGGGCGGGAGCAGAGCACATAAGGAGGGGGGAAGGACAACTGTTGGAGCGGCTCAAAGGCAGGTGGTAATCGGGATAGACGGGGTACAGGAGGACTGGGGAGAGTGCCACAAGGAGGGAGCGGGCAAGGGCACGTGGAGGGAGTGAAGTAAGGTGGTGTAGTGTCAATACTGGTGGGTGTGGTGTGGGGTTACACACACAAGCGACTGCAGCAAAAGGGACAAAGATGAAGACGCTGAGAAGAGGGAAAAGAAAGAGAAACATACACAGAGTGGGTGAAACATGCACGGAGTGGGTGATTACCTGGAAAGAGAAGAGAAACACCCGAACAGAAAAGAAAGTGCGGCCCACCTGTGAAAGGATGAGGCGGTAGAGGGCAGCGGCCTGGGTGAGGCAGCAGGTGCGCTCGAGGGAGAGAGCGAGGTTGAACACCACTGTCACCTTCTCCACTGGTAGTGCCGTCTCTGCCCCCCTCCCCCCCTCAACACCACCATCAGCGTCCTCTAGGTGCAGGATGGGCGCCCACGGCCCATGTTGCCCCAATGCCTCCTTGTATGCCTGCACTGCCTCCTGTGGGTGGGGGGAAAGGGGAGCAGAGGACTTTTTAGCAAAGGGGGGGGTTGGGGAGAGCGGGGAGCAGAGGGGCTGTTTTTGAAATTTCTCAGGAAAGAGCCGCCTTGCTTGCATGGCTGCACTTGCATGAGATACTGTGCATCGCACCACCATTGCCCTGGCTGCACTTGCATGAGATACTGTGCATCGCACCACCATTTCCCTGGCTGCACTTGCATGAGATACTGTGCATCGCACCACCATTGCCCTGGCTGCACTTGCATGAGATACTGTGCATCGCACCACCATTGCCCTGGCTGCACTTGCATGAGATACTGTGCATCGCACCACCATTGCCCTGGCTGCACTTGCATGAGATACTGTGCATCGCACCACTTTTTCCCTGGCTGCACGAGCCCCGACCCCACCTCATACGCGCCCCTCTCATGCTGCAGTGCAGCAATGTTGTTCACCAGTTGCCACGGCACGCCCTCCTTGCCCGCTGCCTTCACCATGCGCTCGTATGCCTGCACGCCAGTAGAGCACGCATAAGAAGGACGAATTTGGGGGGCACAAGGCAACACGTGAGGAGAGGCGGGGTGGCGGCAGTGAGTCATGACATGGGGGCGAGTGGGGCCAGAAGAGCGTGTATCATTGAGAGTGGGAGAGCCCTTCACAGCAATCCTTGCAGAGCAGGCGCGCACTGCAGCACGCCGTGAACCTGGGGAGGGGACGGTGAGCTCGCTTGCTCACCTTCTTGAGAGACTCGAGCGCAGCGGGGAGGTCTGAGGAGACGAGAAGCTCTCCCACCTCCAACCACGCCTGGTGTCACACAGATGCATGGGGAAGCAAGGAGAAGGAGGACGACGGAAGGGAGAGACACATGTGAGCCACGCTGAATGCAGCAGTTACCAGCACTCACCTCACTCTACCTCGCATTCCCACATACGCATGTCATGCCATCAGTAACCTCCGCCACACACGTCCCAACATGATGTTGCACCCATGGTTACATGGATGGTCACATGGATGGTCACATACACTCACGTCCATGTCAGAGGGGCAGTGCTGGGTGATCTTGCGGAAGCACCCCAATGCCTGGTCCTGCCGGCCCTGCTGCAGGTGAATGGCGCCCACCAGCTGATATGGGGGGGGGGGGGGGTTGGGTTAGGGGGAGAAAGGGGGGAGATGCTGGCATGAACGAGAGGCAATGGCAGGGATGTATGGACAAGAAGCACGCCAGTGCTTGGTCCTGCCGGCCCTGCTGCAGGTGAATGGCGCCCACCAGCTGATGTGGGTTGAAGTGATCAAGGCACAAACAGAAGGGCATGGAGGGGATGAACGGGAGAAAAGCATTGGTGGGGTGTACATACAACATACAAGCAGCACTCACTGGAGCTCCCTGACTGGAGCTCACTGACTGGAGCTCCCTGACTGGAGCTCACTAACTGGAGCTCCCTGACTGGAGCTCCCTGACTGGAGCTCCCTGACTGGAGCTCCCTGACTGGAGCTCCCTGACTGGAGCTCACTGACTGGAGCTCACTGACTGGAGCTCCCTGACTGGAGCTCACTGACTGGAGCTCACTGACTGGAGCTCCCAGACTGGAGCTCCCTGACTGGAGCTCCAAGACTGGAGCTCCCTGACTGGAGCTCACTGACTGGAGCTCCCTGACTGGAGCGCACTGACTGGAGCTCCCTGACTGGAGCTCCCTGACTGGAGCTCACTGACTGGAGCTCACTGACTGGAGCTCCCTGACTGGAGCTCACTGACTGGAGCTCCCTGACTGGAGCTCACTGACTGGAGCTCACTGACTGGAGCTCCCTGACTGGAGCTCCCTGACTGGAGCTCCCTGACTGGAGCTCCCTGACTGGAGCTCCCTGACTGGAGCTCACTGACTGGAGCTCCCTGACTGGAGCTCCCTGACTGGAGCTCACTGACTGGAGCTCCCTGACTGGAGCTCACTGACTGGAGGTCACTGACTGGAGCTCCCTGACTGGAGCTCCCTGACTGGAGCTCCCTGACTGGAGCTCCCTGACTGGAGCTCCCTGACTGGAGCTCACTGACTGGAGCTCACTGACTGGAGCTCACTGACTGGAGCTCACTGACTGGAGCTCCCTGACTGGAGCTCCCAGACTGGAGCTCCCTGACTGGAGCTCCAAGACTGGAGCTCCCTGACTGGAGCTCACTGACTGGAGCTCCCTGACTGGAGCTCCCTGACTGGAGCTCCCTGACTGGAGCTCCCTGACTGGAGCTCACTGACTGGAGCTCACTGACTGGAGCTCCCTGACTGGAGCTCACTGACTGGAGCTCACTGACTGGAGCTCACTGACTGGAGCTCCCTGACTGGAGCTCCCTGACTGGAGCTCACTGACTGGAGCTCCCTGACTGGAGCTCACTGACTGGAGCTCACTGACTGGAGCTCCCTGACTGGAGCTCCCTGACTGGAGCTCCCTGACTGGAGCTCACTGACTGGAGCTCACTGACTGGAGCTCACTGACTGGAGCTCCCTGACTGGAGCTCCCAGACTGGAGCTCCCTGACTGGAGCTCCAAGACTGGAGCTCCCTGACTGGAGCTCACTGACTGGAGCTCCCTGACTGGAGCGCACTGACTGGAGCTCCCTGACTGGAGCTCACTGACTGGAGCTCACTGACTGGAGCTCACTGACTGGAGCTCCCTGACTGGAGCTCACTGACTGGAGCTCACTGACTGGAGCTCCCTGACTGGAGCTCCCTGACTGGAGCTCCCTGACTGGAGCTCCCTGACTGGAGCTCCCTGACTGGAGCTCACTGACTGGAGCTCACTGACTGGAGCTCACTGACTGGAGCTCCCTGACTGGAGCTCACTGACTGGAGCTCACTGACTGGAGCTCCCAGACTGGAGCTCCCTGACTGGAGCTCCCTGACTGGAGCTCCCTGACTGGAGCTCCCTGACTGGAGCTCGCTGACTGGAGCTCGCTGACTGGAGCTCCCTGACTGGAGCTCACTGACTGGAGCTCCCTGACTGGAGCTCCCTGACTGGAGCTCCCTGACTGGAGCTCCCTGACTGGAGCTCACTGACTGGAGCTCCCTGACTGGAGCTCACTGACTGGAGCTCACTGACTGGAGCTCCCTGACTGGAGCTCCCTGACTGGAGCTCCCTGACTGGAGCTCCCTGACTGGAGCTCCCTGACTGGAGCTCACTGACTGGAGCTCACTGACTGGAGCTCACTGACTGGAGCTCCCTGACTGGAGCTCACTGACTGGAGCTCACTGACTGGAGCTCCCAGACTGGAGCTCCCTGACTGGAGCTCCCTGACTGGAGCTCCCTGACTGGAGCTCCCTGACTGGAGCTCGCTGACTGGAGCTCGCTGACTGGAGCTCCCTGACTGGAGCTCACTGACTGGAGCTCCCTGACTGGAGCTCCCTGACTGGAGCTCCCTGACTGGAGCTCCCTGACTGGAGCTCGCTGACTGGAGCTCGCTGACTGGAGCTCACTGACTGGAGCTCCCTGACTGGAGCTCACTGACTGGAGCTCCCTGACTGGAGCTCACTGACTGGAGAATTCTCAAAAGTGATTTTCATGTTCGATGCTTGTGTCTGAACAGTAATGGATTCCATTCCTTACTGCATCTGCTTTTTCATCTTCCCCGCTCTTGTTGTTGGCGGTTCATCTTTGGTTTGTGTTGTTGTGTTGAGACATAACATGAACAGCCAGGCTCTCCCTCTTGTAAGAATATTCCCCAGGCCGTGAGGGAGAGTGTAAAATACCACACTCACACCTGTGATTCATGAATTACTGTATTGACAGGATAGTCGGTTCCTCCTGCCGAAGCCCCTGCTGCAGGACATTTGCACCGAACCTGCGCTCCATAACACCCCGCACAACCTCCATTCGGACTACCTAGCGGCACATCAGCTGAAACCTGACCAGGTTGACCAGGTCAACCGACGCCAAGCCTGTACATTCAATCACGGCCGTACCAAGGGCCCAGGGATGCGTATGATTGGTGGTCGAAGTCGTTGAGGGAAGGAACATTGGCCCAGCTGGTTAGGGAAGGAACATTGACCCAACTGGTTAGGTGACCAGCTGCTTAGGGAAGGAACATTGGCCCAACTGGTTAGGTGACCTGTGAAAAGAGCAGCAGCAGCCATGGCCGTGGATTTGAGTTATTCCATAGTTGGACTAGGCACGCAGTTGGACCAGGCGCTGGGCTTGGGCGTTGGGCTTGGGCGTTGGGCTTGGGCGTTTGGCTTGGGCGTTGGGCTTGGGCGTTGGGCTTGGGCGCTGGGCTTGGGCTTTGGCAGGTAGGTCTATTGGCAGATAGGTCTATTGGCAGATAGGTCTATTGGCAGATAGGTCTATTGGCAGATAGGTCTATTGGCAGGTAGGTCTATTGGCAGATAGGTCTATTGGCAGACAGGTCTATTGGCAGATAGGTTTATTGGCAGGTAGGTCTATTGGCAGATAGGTCTATTGGCAGATAGGTCTATTGGCAGATAGGTCTATTGGCAGGTAAGTCTATAGGCAGCACCCATGCACCCCAACTCGCTGTTCCCCCCTTCCCTCCCTTCTCTCACCTTGAGAGCATCGCTGTTGGTGGGGTGCACGGCCAGCACCTTCTCTAGTGTGCCCAGTGCGCCCAGCACTGTTACCACCCATTCACCCCATCTCTCCATCCCCCCCACCCCCACCCCCCCCCTCTCTCACCTTGAGAGCATCGCTGTTGGTGGGGTGCACGGCCAGCACCTTCTCCAGTGTGCCCAGTGCGCCCAGCACTGTTACCACCCATTCACCCCATCTCTCCATCCCCCCCACCCCCACCCCCCCCCTCTCTCACCTTGAGAGCATCGCTGTTGGTGGGGTGCACGGCCAGCACCTTCTCTAGTGTGCCCAGTGCGCCCAGCACTGTTACCACCCATTCACCCCATCTCTCCATCCCCCCCACCCCCACCCCCCCCTCTCTCACCTTGAGAGCATCGCTGTTGGTGGGGTGCACGGCCAGCACCTTCTCTAGTGTGCCCAGTGCGCCCAGCACTGTTACCACCCATTCACCCCATCTCTCCATCCCCCCCACCCCCACCCCCCCCTCTCTCACCTTGAGAGCATCGCTGTTGGTGGGGTGCACGGCCAGCACCTTCTCTAGTGTGCCCAGTGCGCCCAGCACTGTTACCACCCATTCACCCCATCTCTCCATCCCCCCCACCCCCACCCCCCCCCTCTCTCACCTTGAGAGCATCGCTGTTGGTGGGGTGCACGGCCAGCACCTTCTCTAGTGTGCCCAGTGCGCCCAGCACTGTTACCACCCATTCACCCCATCTCTCCATCCCCCCCACCCCCACCCCCCCCCTCTCTCACCTTGAGAGCATCGCTGTTGGTGGGGTGCACGGCCAGCACCTTCTCTAGTGTGCCCAGTGCGCCCAGCACTGTTACCACCCATTCACCCCATCTCTCCATCCCCCCCACCCCCACCCCCCCCTCTCTCACCTTGAGAGCATCGCTGTTGGTGGGGTGCACGGCCAGCACCTTCTCTAGTGTGCCCAGTGCGCCCAGCACTGTTACCACCAATTCACCCCATCTCTCCATCCCCCCCACCCCCACCCCCCCCCTCTCTCACCTTGAGAGCATCGCTGTTGGTGGGGTGCACGGCCAGCACCTTCTCTAGTGTGCCCAGTGCGCCCAGCACTGTTACCACCCATTCACCCCATCTCTCCATCCCCCCCACCCCCACCCTCCCCTCTCTCACCTTGAGAGCATCGCTGTTGGTGGGGTGCACGGCCAGCACCTTCTCTAGTGTGCCCAGTGCGCCCAGCACTGTTACCACCCATTCACCCCATCTCTCCATCCCCCCCACCCCCACCCCCCCCCTCTCTCACCTTGAGAGCATCGCTGTTGGTGGGGTGCACGGCCAGCACCTTCTCTAGTGTGCCCAGTGCGCCCAGCACTGTTACCACCCATTCACCCCATCTCTCCATCCCCCCCACCCCCACCCCCCCCTCTCTCACCTTGAGAGCATCGCTGTTGGTGGGGTGCACGGCTAGCACCTTCTCTAGTGTGCCCAGTGCGCCCAGCACTGTTACCACCCATTCACCCCATCTCTCCATCCCCCCCACCCCCACCCCCCCCTCTCTCACCTTGAGAGCATCGCTGTTGGTGGGGTGCACGGCCAGCACCTTCTCTAGTGTGCCCAGTGCGCCCAGCACTGTTACCACCCATTCACCCCATCTCTCCATCCCCCCCACCCCCACCCCCCCCTCTCTCACCTTGAGAGCGTCGCTGTTGGTGGGGTGCACAGCCAGCACCTTCTCCAGTGTGCCCAGTGCCGCCTTGGCACCACCCAGACTCAGCTGAATCTGCCCCAACCCTGCACGCAGGCTCGATGGGGAGGAGAGGGTGGTGAGGCGGAGAGAGAGCGTGCACTCCGAGAGTCACTCACATGGCTGCCAAAATGTCTTCACTTGGATTTGACTCCCTCATGCTGCTTCACCACAATGAAAAAGTGCGAGGTATGAGGTGTGGAGAGCAAGGGGAGAGTGGGGGTGGGCGTACCATAGTAGGGCAGGGCGAACTCCCCTGGCTGTACCGTCTCCGTGGCCGCCTTGTAATACGCAAACGCCTTCTTCCTGTCGCCCTGTGCCATGACACACACGACCAAGGGAGAGGGGGGAGAGAGAGACAGGAAGGAGCCATTTTACGGAGGGGGTGCTGGTACAAGCAGGCAGGCTGCACCGTCGCCGTGGCCGCCTTGTGATATGCAAACAAACGCCTTCTTCCTGTCGCCCTGTGCCGTGACATAAGGGAGGGGAGAGAGGGGGGGACAGAGGGGTGACGAGAAGGGAAAGAAGAAGGAGAATGAGGAGCCTTGTATTGATATGCAAAGAAGCAAGCAAGGGAAGGGAAGTGAGACGGAATGGCACGGAAAAGCAAACCCCACCTGTGCATGGTAGGTGCGCGCAAGACAGTAATAGGCTTCAGCACGCGGCAGAGAAGCCTCGGTGCTGGCAAGGGCGAGCGCAGCGAGGGGGTCGACCAGGCCGTGCAGAGAGGGCCCGGCGAGGAAGGCGTGGTTGGCGAGGTGGTTGAGAGCCATGGGGTGGAAGGGGAAGGCGTGGAAGGCTGCCAGCATGCGCTGCTGGCCCCTCTGCACTGCTGTGACTGCAGTGACGGGGGAAGGGGGAGAAAGGGTGGGCCATGTGAGAAGAAAGAGGGACGGGGGAGGGAACGGGAGGGGCCAGCGAGGAAAGCGTGGTTGGCGAGGTGGTTGAGAGCCATGGGGTGGAAGGGGAAGGCGTGGAAGGCTGCCAGCATGCGCTGCTGGCCCATCTGCACTGCTGTGACTGCAGTGACGGGGGAAGGGGGAGAAAGGGTGGGCCATGTGAGAAGAAAGAGGGACGGGGGAGGGAACGGGAGGGGCCAGCGAGGAAGGCGTGGTTGGCGAGGTGGTTGAGGGCCATGGGGTGGAAGGGGAAGGCGTGGAAGGCTGCTAGCATGCGCTGCTGCCCCCTCTGCACTGCTGAGACTGCAGTGACGGGGGAAGGGGGAGAAAGGGTGGGCCATGTGAGAAGAAAGAGGGACGGGGGAGGGAACGGGAGGGGCCAGCGAGGAAAGCGTGGTTGGCGAGGTGGTTGAGAGCCATGGGGTGGAAGGGGAAGGCGTGGAAGGCTGCCAGCATGCGCTGCTGGCCCATCTGCACTGCTGTGACTGCAGTGACGGGGGAAGGGGGAGAAAGGGTGGGCCATGTGAGAAGAAAGAGGGACGGGGGAGGGAACGGGAGGGGCCAGCGAGGAAGGTGTGGTTGGCGAGGTGGTTGAGGGCCATGGGGTGGAAGGGGAAGGCGTGGAAGGCTGCTAGCATGCGCTGCTGCCCCCTCTGCACTGCTGAGACTGCAGTGACGGGGGAAGGGGGAGAAAGGGTGGGCCATGTGAGAAGAAAGAGGGACGGGGGAGGGAACGGGAGGGGCCAGCGAGGAAAGCGTGGTTGGCGAGGTGGTTGAGAGCCATGGGGTGGAAGGGGAAGGCGTGGAAGGCTGCCAGCATGCGCTGCTGGCCCCTCTGCACTGCTGTGACTGCAGTGACGGGGGAAGGGGGAGAAAGGGTGGACCATGTGAGAAGAAAGAGGGACGGGGGAGGGAACGGGAGGGGCCAGCGAGGAAGGCGTGGTTGCGAGGTGGTTGAGGGCCATGGGGTGGAAGGGGAAGGCGTGGAAGGCTGCTAGCATGCGCTGCTGCCCCCTCTGCACTGCTGCGACTGTTGATAGGAAAGGAGAGGGGCACAGGGGAGGTGCAGGAAGGGCGGTTATGCTATGCAGGGCATACAGGCTGAACGGTGGGGTGGGAATGGGAGCAGGTGAGAGAAGGAGAGAGGGGGTCCACGAGCGCATCAGCGTTCCCATGGCAGCTGCGGCACCCTCTCCAGCGCCTGCTTGGCCTTGCCCATGCATTCACATACCCACACAAGCCACTCCAATCCATGCACCACGCCACCACTACGTACCATCGTCTGACTTCACATCTAACAACCCCAGCGCCACCAATGCATCCGCATTCCCCGGCTCCAGCTGCAGCACCCGCTCCAGCGCCTGCCTGGCCTTGCCCATCAGCCCAAGCCCATACCCATGCACCCAAACAAGTACCATAGGCAATGCTACGTACCATCGTCAGAATTTATATCCAGTAGTCCCAGTGCCACCAACGCGTCTGCATTCCCCGGCTCCAGCTGCAGCACCCGCTCCAGCGCCTGCCTGGCCTTGCCCGCGTGGAACTCCCTGCGTGCTGCTGCTGCCTGGCGTGCTGCTGCGGAGGCCAAGAGACGCAGATGGCACAGGCCGATGCCCAGGCGCACGGAGGCGGGGCAGGCGGGGTGCAGCTGCAGCACCTTCTGCTTGGGGAGGGGGGCGGGGACAGGAAGGAGGGAAGAGTGGGCGAGAAAGGGGAGAGTGGGTGGGCCGAGAGGCGGGCATTTTAGTTTAGAGAAGGACGCGTGCTGGATGCTGGACGCACACGGGCGCCATGGCTCCCGCATCATGTGCTCTTGACCCACGCGGGCGCCATGGCTCCCGCATCATGTGCTCTTGACGCACGCGGGCGGGGCGAACAAGAGGAGGGGTGCATGCATCCAGGGGGTGCATCCAGGGGCGAAGGCGAGGGGCTTACGGCAGTGAGGGCGAGGGGCCCAGCAGCCACCCACCTTGTAGAGGTTGAGGGCGTCTTGGAACTTGGCCTTGTGGAAGAGCACACACGCCTGCACTCATGGTGAACAGGGTAACATGCAGAGCAGTGCAACGAGCATTATCACCGAGCATCAGCAGCGAGCAGTACAGACAGAGGAAGGACGCAGGGCACAAAAGCGAACACGAGGTGACTTCTGAGTCGACTCAAAAGCACGCACGCCTGCACTCGTGACCCACAGGGCAACATGCAGAGCAGTGCAACGAGCATCAGCACCGAGCAGCACAAAGCAATGACACGCGCACAAATGGAACACAGAACCACCAACAGGAATCTAGCTTCCGCAGCAGCCTCCTCTTCTCCAAGCAACAACCATCCTTCCCCAGCAACAACCATCCTTCCCCAGCAACAACCATCCTTCCCCAGCAGCGCCTACCTTCCCCAGCAGCGCCCACCTTCCCCAGCAGCGCCCACCTTCCCCAGCAACGCCCACCTTGCCCAGCAGCCCACCTTCCCCAGCAGCCCACCTTCCCCAGCAGTGCGGGCACGTAGTCGGGCGCGCCAGCGAGGGCGAGAGAGAACATCTCCTCCGCCTGATGCACCTCACCCTTCACCAGCTGCAGCTGCCCTGTCATGGGGAAAGGAAGGGGGGGATTGGGAGGGGAATGGAGGCAAAGGAGAGAGTTGCGGGGAACAATGGCCTCGCTGCTGATGCGGAGGCCTTGTTACAGAAGTCTACCACTTTGATCAGCACCTCCTCTCGCCTCCCCCACATTTACCCTTCCAAGCCCCCACCCCATGTGCGCACCTTTCCCCACCCCATGTGCGCACCTTTCCCCACCCCATGTGCACACCTTTCCCCACCCCATGTGCCCACCTTTCCCCACCCCATGTGCGCACCTTTCCCCACCCCATGTGCGCACCTTTCCCCACCCCATGTGCGCACCTTTCCCCACCCCATGTGCCCACCTTTCCCCACCCAAGTGGTCACGGCCTCGCTTAGAAAGTAGATTTTTGAGACGTCTCATGTAGAAAGTAGATTTTTGAGACGTCTCGTGTAGAAAGTAGATTTTTGAGACGTCTCATGTAGAAAGTAGATTTTTGAGACGTCTCGTGTAGAAAGTAGATTTTTGAGACGTCTCGTGTAGAAAGTAGATTTTTGAGACGTCTCATGTAGAAAGTAGATTTTTGAGACGTCTCGTGTAGAAAGTAGATTTTTGAGACGTCTCGTGTAGAAAGTAGATTTTTGAGACGTCTCGTGTAGAAAGTAGATTTTTGAGACGTCTCGTGTAGAAAGTAGATTTTTGAGACGTCTCGTGTAGAAAGTAGATTTTGAGACGTCTCCGTGTAGAAAGTAGATTTTTGAGACGTCTCAAAAATCTACTTTCTACACGTGGCCACGGCCTCGCTGCTGATCCTCGCCGCCTTGTTATAGAAGTCCACCACCTTGATCAGCACCTCGTCTCGCCTCCCCATTCGCCCCTCCTTCCCCATCCACCCCCACCACTCCCCACCTTTTCCCCACCGTTTCCCCACCCTTCCGTCCTCACCTTTCCCTACCCACGTGGCCACAGCCTCGCTGCTGATGCGAGCAGCCTTGTTATAGAAGTCCACCACCTTGATCAGCACCTCGTCCCGCTTCTGCCGCCGTGCCACGCGCCCCAGCCCTGTGTAGTGCGCTCCCAGCGCGTTCAGCATGGCTATGCGCTCGTGGCGAGAGGTCTCATATACCCTTTCCGCATCTGGTTGGTGTTGGGGGAGGGGGGAGGGGCGGTAGGGTTGGGTTGGTGTTGGGGGAGGGGGAGGGGCGGTAGGGTGAGGGGCATGAAGCGTGTGATTGGGAGGGCTCCCCAGCCAGCCCCATGTAGTGCGCTCCCAGTGCGTTCAGCATCGCTATGCGCTCGGGCCGCGACGTCTCATACACCCTCTCCGCATGTGGATGGTGGGAAGGGAAAGGGGAGCAGGGGGGAGGGGGAGGGGAGGGTAACGTCGCAAATGTGTGTGATGGGTAAGGCTCCACAGTTGACTCCGTGTAGTGTGCTGCGCGCCCAGGACACTACAAACAGGACGAGCGAACAAGACGAGGGATGCTGGCCATGGGTAAACAGAACACTCGTTCCCGCAAGCGCGAGACGGGTGCCTGAGCGTGTGCCTGAGCGTGACGGGTGCCTGAGCGTTAGTGTGTGCGTGGTGACAGGCCGGCGGTACCTGGCGAGGTGCCTTCTGATAAGATGTCGAGGAACGCCGCTGTGTTGCCTTGCTTGAAGTACGCTCGCTGCCAGGACAGCATGGGGTGGCGGGTTTGACAACATAATAGGGAACATAATAGGGGATTGAAAGCACCGATGGGGGAGGGTCAACCAGCGGTCATGGTTGCTACCATAAGCATGTATCAGGCGTCAGTCCATGTCAGTCCATGTCAGTCCATGTCAGTCCATGTCAGTCCATGTCAGTCCATGTCAGTCCATGTCAGTCATGTCAGTCCAAGTCAGTCCAAGTCAGTCTATCTCAGTCCGTGTCAGTACATGTCAGAAATTGTTAGACCGTGTCAGTACATGTCAGTACGTGTTATACCGTGTCAGTACATGTCAGTTCATGTCAGTCTATCTCAATCCGTGTTAGTACATGTGAGTCCATGGCAGTCCACGTCCGGACATCCGAGTTTATGAAACCCAGGATGTCAGTACCCCGGACCATCACTTGAATGAAAACAAGAATCTCCCTACCCCTCACTGTGCATCCTCCGTTAAACACCCGCCAGTGTGCACGCACGCGACTGTTGACTGAAATGAGGATTTCATCTCTAACCGCCAGTGTGCAGCGCACGCACCGCGAGGTGCAGCCACCGCTGGGCACCCGTTAGTGTGGACCCACCGCGAGTTGCAGCCAGCAGTCGAGCGGCGCCTGCTCGCCCTTGAGAATGTCGACCAGATCGCCATGATCCGACGGCAGGCGATCCACGTCCACCGCCACCGCCTCGCCCGTGCCGTGCAGCGGAATCAGGATGTAGCGCGGCGCGCCGGCCTCCTCCGCTGATGCCGCCATGGTTACCCGGTCTCAAGGATGCGGATTGAAACGGGTCACGCGATGGAGCGAAGCGCGGAAATTGCGGCTACGGAAGTAGAAGGAGAAGAAAATTCAAAAGGGGTGAAGTTCGAAACCCTACAGTTGCCTCCGTCTGGTCTCGTAATCTCCATAACTACGTCAAACTGGCGTTGCGATTATTAGGAGCAAGTCGTCGGGACTCCGGGAATGGCAACACTCTTGCCACATTAAACTCCGGTGCTCCGCTAAAAGATACTCAGTGAGGACAGGGTGATTCTCAATTCTATCCAGGGGGACCCATATGTCTTCCTGGGCGTGCGGTCCCTCCAGCAGATCAGGAATTCGATCCTGCGGGCTCCTCGTGGGTCATGTACTCGGTGGCTCAGTATTTTTTCGGGCGTGATAATTGGTTCTGTCGGCAGTCGTGTCATGCTGGCGGGGCGGTTGCGAGGTAGTTGGCTGGTGGATGGCACGTATGGGCGAAGCAGGCTGACGTGGAATGACAGGTTGACGTACCAGTCAGTAGGGAGGAGGAGGTGGGCAGTGACGGGTGTGATTATGTGGCTGATGCGAAATGGCCCGCAATATCGGGGGCGGAGTTTTGGGGTGATGGCAGGCGGAGGTTTTGAGTATCAAGTAGCACGAGGTCGTCAGGCTGGTAAGTGACGGGTCGGCGGTGGCGGTCGGCGTTACGCTTAGCGATGATGTTATATTTTTTTATTGCGTCTGCTGCTCGGGTCCGTGCTGCTTGTAAGATTTCTGCGAGCTGTTGCACGCGTGGCACCGGGCTGTCGGGATTCGGAGTCATGGGTACTGTGGGGTCTTGTCCATAGTTCAGGTAAAACGGTGACTGTTGGGTTGTGGCGGATGGCGGGTTGTTGTACGCGAACTCGATGAGTGGCAGTTGCTGTTCCCAGGTGGTCGGGTCATCGCAAGTGGCTCGGATGAGTTGCTCCATGGTCTGGTTTGTCTGTTCTGTCTGTCCGTTGGTCTCGGGGTGGTATGAAGAACTGAGCTGTAGTCGCGTGCCGAACTGCTGCCACAGGTTCCGCCAGAAGTTGCTGGTGAACTTCGTATCGCGGTCGCTGGTGATCGATGTTGGTATCTCGTGTAGTTGAACGACGGTGGAGATGAAGAGGCGGGTTGTTTCTTCGGATGTGATTGATTTTTTGCAGGCTGCGAAATGTGCCATTTTCGTCAGCCGAGCGACGACGACCAGGATCGCGTCGTTCCCACTTTCCCCAGCCGGTAAACCTATGACAAAGTCCATCGTCACCTGCTGCCAAGCACGCTCTGGGGGTGGTATTGGCAGCAACTGCCCTGCCGGTCGTTTCCGTGATGACTTCATGAGTTGGCAGGTGATGACTTCATGAGTTGGCAGTTGCCACGTGTCGTTGGACGTCGGTCAGCATTTCGGGCTAGTAGTAATACCGCTGCAGCTGCTGCCGTGTTTTCTCTACTCCGAAATGTCATGAGGTAACCTCGTCGTGTGCCTCCTGTAGTAATAGCTCCCTTAGTAAAGTGTAGCCTGGTACCCTGATGCGGTCGGTGCCGGCTTTTACGTAATAAACCATCTCTGCTGCTGCGAATTTCCACCTGTGAAGAATGGGTCGGTTTAATAGTCGTGGGTAAACAGTCCTGTTAGTAGCGGGCTGGTCTGGGCGAGTAGTATGGCGTGGATTTGGGCAGTGGGGCGGGTCAGTGCGTCGGCAATGTTCGATGCTCCTTTTTTGTAGGTGACCGTGTAGTGGAAATTTGACTCGGGGAAATCGAGCCAGCGGATCTGTCGTGGGTTGAGGTGGGGCTGTGCGCGTAGGTACTGTAGTGATTTGTGGTTTGTCCGCACTGTCACGTCTGCGCCGGTCAAGTAACAGCCCCACACTTTGAATGCATGCACGATCGCGAGCATTTCGCGGTCCTGTATTGGGTAATTCTTCTCGGACGGATGCAGTTTTTGTGACTTGTATGCGATGGGCTGTAAACCGTTGCCGAAATCCTGTAGCAGTACGGCTCCAATGGCGATGTCGCTTGCGTCTGTAACCACTTCGAATGGGCGGTGTGGGTCGGCGATGCGCAGTACGGGCGGTGAACATATAACATTTTTCAGGGCAGAGAAGGCAGCATGCTCTTTCTCCCCCCACGTAAACGCGACCCCCTTCCGCAGTAAATCCGTCAGCGGGGCAGTTAAGCGTGCCATGTCGGGGACGAACCGACGCACAGAATTAACGAACCCTAAAAAACTCTGCAGCTCCGTGATGTTCGTCGGGGGGTGCCACACTTTTACCGTATCCAGCTTCTTTGGGTCGATCTCAACTCCAGCTTCCGAAATAACGTGCCCCAAAAATTCTAACCTATCTTGGAAGAACTCGCACTTGGTGTCAAACTTATATCTACTATAGTCTGTTTAGGCTGTAGTGGGGTAGTCCTTAGAGGGTACAACACTTTTGTGTTTTCTACTTGTACCCTTCTGCTTTCTAGTTCAATCATTCTTTCGTCAATTATCTCACATGGTATAGAGCTAGTTTCGAGTTTTTTTTAAGGGCCCACCACTGAAATTTTTCTTACCTGCCCGACGCGCGCGTCGCGCCTGCCCTTCGAGGCCCGTAGCGGCCCCTGCGCCTGCCCTTAGAGCCCGCGCCGGCCCCCAAAGCAGCCGCGTAGAGGCCTAGCCAGGCGCCGCGCAGCCCTGTAAGGCCCCGTCAGGCCCTGTAAGGCCCCATCAGGCCCCGTTTACGGCCCCGTAAGGCCCCGTTTACGGCCCCGTAAGGCCCCGTAAGGCCACGTCAGGCCCCGTTTACGGCCCCGTAAGGCCCCGTAAGGCCCCGTAAGGCCCCGTCAAGCCCCGTTTACGGCCCCGTCAGGCCCCTTTAGCGGCCCCGTCAGGCCCCGTTAGGCCCCGTAAGGCCCCGTCAGGCCCCGTCAGGCCCCGTTTACGGCCCCGTATGGCCCCGTCAGGCCCCGTTAGCGGCCCCGTCAGGCCCCGTTAGGCCCCGTCAGGCCCCGTAAGGCCCCGTCAGGCCCCGTCAGGCCCCGTTTACGGCCCCGTAAGGCCCCGTAAGGCCCCGTCAGAGCCCGTTAGCGGCCCCGTCAGGCCCCCCCCCTTTGCGGCCCCCGTTGCGGCGCGACTCGCGGCCCTGCCCCGACCCTGTCGCGGCCCTGTCCCGGCCCTACTGCGACCCAGCCCCGGCCCTACTTCGGCCCGGTCGCGGCTCTGTTCCGGCCCTGCCCCGGCCCTACCCCAACCTGTCGCGGCCCTGCTGCGGCCCTGTCTGCAGCCCTGCCCCGGCCCTCGCCCCGGCCCTGTCTCGGCCCTGCCCCGGCCCTGCTCCTGCACTGCCGTGGCCCGGCCCCGGCCCTGCCCCGGACCTGTCGCGGCCTCGCCCCGGCCCTGTCCCGGCCCTGCTCCGACCCTGCCCCGGCCCTGCCCCGGCTCTGCCCCGGCCCTGCCCCGGCCCTGCCCCTGCCCTGCTCCTGCACTGTCGCGGCCCTGCCCCAACCCGGCCCCGGATCTTTTTGCGGCCCAGCCCCGGCCCTACCCCGGCCCTGCCCCGGCCTCGCCCCTGGTAAGAGCGCCGCGCTGCCGAGCCGCGCCGCTCTGCCGAGCCGCCCTGCCGAGCCGCGCCGCCCTGCCTAGCCTGCTTAGCCGAGTTGCACTGCTGCTGCTGCTAGCCTGCTGCTGCTCCTGTCATGGCTAGTCTCAATGTTCTTACCTTTGATGCTGAGGGTCGAGCTGTTGACTTTGAGGTCTGGCTAGATGATCTGCAGCTCTTCCTACAGTGCGATAGCAAGGATGGTCTCTCACTGTTCGATCTCACGTCTGGCGCCTCTACTGCCCCTGCTGCTGATGCTGACAGTACTGTTCGCTCGCAGTGGCTCACGCGCGATGCTGCTGCTCGTCTTGCTGTGCGTAATCACCTGCCGTCTACTGAGCGCGCGCACTTTAGTCAGTACAAGAGTGCTAGGGCTCTGTACGACGCTGTAGTTGCACGCTACTCCTCCCCTACCACTGCTGCCCTCAGCCGCCTCATGCTGCCGTACCTTTTTCCTGACCTTGCCGCCTTTGCCACAGTTGCTGACCTAGTTGCTCACCTCCGCACTAGTGACGCTCGCTACCGCGCTGCCCTTCCCACTGAGTTTCTTCCCACGAACTCCCCCCCCATGTACATCACCCTTTACTACCTAGTCACCCGCCTCCCTGACTCTCTCTCCTCAGTCAGGGATCACTTTCTCTCCCTTTGCCCCACCGAGCTGACTGTCGACTTGCTAGAGGAGCGCCTTGCTGCAGCTGAGAAGAGTATCTTAGCTGTTGGTGCTTCTCGCGGCGACCGTCGCACCCCCTTCTTTGAGGGGTGTTCCCCTGTCCCCCTTCTCCCCTCTGTTGCATCTGCTGCTGCTGCTGTCGACCTCGTTGGCACTGAGGAGGTCGGCGCTGCGTCTGCCCCTAGTGGGCGACGCCGCACTGGCAAGGGCAAGGGAAGCAGGGGTGGTGGAGGGGGCGGTGGAGGCAGCGGTGGGGGAGGTGGAGGAGGTGGAGGTGGTGGTGGGGGTGGTTCCGGGAGTGGGGGCGTCGGTGGCGGCAGTGGAGGCCGTGGCGGCAGTGGCGGAGGAGGTGGCGGCGGCGGCAGCGGTGGTGGAGGTAGCGGAGGAGGTGGTGCTGGTCGCGGTGCAGCCACGCAGCGTGGAGGCCTTGGTGGCAGCCAGCGTCAGCAGCAGCTGCGCACCCGTGAGACCCCGTCTGTTCAGCAGCTTCGTGAGTGGTACGCTGGGCGTGGGAGGGCTGGGGGTGCAAGTCCCTGCACGTACGTTCTTCGCACCGGCACTCGTAGTGGGGAGGTGTGTGGTCTCCCACACACCACGCAGCGCTGCTTCGGCCGCTTGACTGACGCTTGGCGTACCCAGTTTCCTGACGCAGTTGAGCTTCCTCGCTGGCATGATCTGCTTCTGCAGAATGTGCCTATCTTTGATCTAGACTTTGATGCTATCCTTGCTGCCATGTATGC